AGGGCAAAATTCACCCTTTGACCCATGGAGATAAGAGGAAGACACCACTTGCTGGAGCCTTCCTATGGCTGGGATCGGATTTCAATTAAAGTGATTAGCACTGTTTGTTTAGACTCCACAGCTGCCTACAACCCACCTGGCCTTACTGTGAGTTCAGAGAAATCAGGGAGGGGCGTGGGGGAGGGGAGGCAATTCAGCCCAGATTGAAAATGTCCTCCTGTAATTATGAGATTGGAGAATATCCACTGAGGGGATCAATAATGGGAAATCTAAGTACCACTGTGCACCGAGATTACAGTTCTCCAATCGCTCCATCTTGGATTTTAATTTTCTCTCTCATCATCACGTCGCCATAAGTGGAGATCACACACAGTCTAACATCCCAGCTTGAGAGAGGTGGGCCGGGAGACAGGACCAAAGCAGTGTTAGTCCAGACACGCTGGACTCTCTGCATGAAATCTTTATGGCCGCATAGCAAAGTACTCCAAATGTAGTGGCTTCGAACAAAACATGTTTATGACACTAAAGTTTCTGTGGGTCAGGAGTCTGATCACAGTCTAGCTGGGGTCTCTGCTGGGGTCTCACCAGGCTGCACTCGAGGTGTGACTGGGACTGGGGTCTCCTTGGAGGCTTGGAGTCCCCTGACAAACACACATGGTTCTTTGTAGGATCCATTTTTCCTGACAGCAATAGAATTCCTGGCAACTTGCTTCTTCAAAATCCAGCAGGAAAGGATCGGGGGGTGGGGGGGCTCTGATTTCTGGTCCCTCTCCCTGATTAGATCAGGACCACCAGGATAATCTCCGTTGTGATTAACTCAGCCGTTAACTGTCTAGGGATCTTAGTGACATCTGCAAAAGTCCTTTGCCTTTGCCATATACTCTGGGTGAGAAGCAAGTTAGAGGCCCCCCCCCACACTCAAGGGAGAGGAATTTTGAAGGCTGTGGGTCACTGGAGGTCATCTGAGAATCCTGCCCCTCATACCTCCCCTTGGCGTGCCTCGCCAAGCTCTCCTCCCCCGAAGGCACAGAATCAGGCCATGGAGAGTGACACAGCCTGGTGGACCCAGCAGCCAGCCATGACTGAGAGCCTCCCCACTTGGGGGAGGAAATGGAGAAGGCAACCACAGATCTGACACAATCTGGCTCTGGCGCTTGTCTCCTGGTCTCTGGTCTTCTTGGTGTCCCAAGGCCCTGCCAGGATTCCTGGCTGCCCTGACCTGGGAGCCCTGACTAGCTCCCTTCCTTCTTCCAGGATGCTGAATACAGGAAGAAATGCAGGGAGCTCCTCCAGGTTGGATGAGGACAGGGACCCGGGATTTGGGAACCCAGTCAGCATTCTAACAATTTCCTCACATTACTGCTCCTCACACGCCTCCTCCCTCCTTCAGCACCCAGCTTAGATGTCACCCTGGGTGAATCTTGGACAACCCTGCTCAGTGCCAGCCTCCATAATTTGCATCGTACTGATCTGCCCTTGATTCTTATGTTTGAGTCTCTCTTTCATGGCGGTGCATATATTACTTAGGATTAGTTTTGGCTAAGCACTGAAGCCTAAAATAACAGGATAAAATGTTAGAGATTCATTTCTCTCTCCCACTGCAATCTAGATGTTAGCAACCCAGGACTAGACCAGAAGCTCTGTTCTACAGAGTCCTCAAAAGACACTCTATCCTGTTGCTCCAAACTGGCTGGCTTCAAAGTCTTAGATGGCTGCTCCAGCTCCAGCTGAACCTACACTTCAGCCAATAGGAAGGAGGAAGGGAAGGAGAACGGCACGCCCCCTCCCCTTACACTATTTCTCCTTACACCCTGTTGGCTATAAATTAGTCACATGGCCACAGATAACTGTAGGGAATGCTGAAATGTGTTGTTTTTATCTGAATAGCTCTGTATCAAGGAAGAATGGTGAAGGGATGGATAAGAAGATTTCTGGAAATCTCTGTTCTAACGTCCCTGTCCCTCTTGTGCAGTCTAAAGTATGGGATGTTTCTTTTTGTATCTGCATCTTTACCCACCCCTTCAATAGCCTAGCCAGGATTCTATACCCATTGATTCTTTCATTGAACACATTGTCTATCTATGCATTTATTCACCAGTTCATTCATTCATTCCCCAACAAATTCTCTCCCTAAGTGCTGGGCACATGGTCAGGACTCAGGAATATGGAGAGGGTAACACATACCCTGCGTTCAAGGTGGTTTACAAATGAGTAGGGAAAACAGCCAAGGAAATGAAGCATTTTAACACCCTGTCATAGGTGCTATGAGATTGTGCAAAGATTGCCCTGCAGACACCATCTGGGGCTGCACTCAAGATTTCCAGAGGGGGATGACACCCCATCTGAGGCTTAGGAAAAACAAACTTTATCAGGGAGCAGAAGGAGCTGGCATGCCAGACCAAGGGAAGGCAGAACGAAGCTGTGCCCTGTCCGTGGTGCTGACCCCTGGCCCAGCCAGGAGCCCCCGAAGTGAGGCAAGCCTGCTTCCCACGTCTCAGTCACTCTGGGCGGGCAGGTGGATGGCAGTGGCGTGCCACTTAGCTGTGCACTTCATTTTCGTAACGACCTTCCCGTCTCCCCTCTCAGTCTTGCTTGTCAGCCTGTGACCATTAAAATCCTCATTAGCAAACGAGATTTGGATGGACTCATTAAGATGAGGGATGGGCCCGCGCAGCACAGCTGGCTGGGGGAGCCAGAGCTCGCCTTCTCCCTCTCTGTTGGGAAAGTGCACCAGGCTCAAACAGACCTCCCTGGGGTTGTTTGGGGGACCAGCCTAAGGGGAGGCCAGGCCGCAGTAGACCACAAAGAGCCTAGAGCTGCTGACTCACCCCCTGCCCCCCCCCAAAGCACCCAATCAAGTCTGGGCTTCTGCCAGTTCAGACTGAAGCTCAACCTCCAGAACATGACATTCAAAACCCCTCCCAGGGACTTCCCTGGTGGTTAAGAATCTGCCGGCCAATGCAGGGGACACAGGCTCTGTACCTGGTCCGGGAAGATCCCAAAAGCTGCAGGGCAGCTAAGTCCATGCACCACAACTACTGAAGCCTGTGGGTCCTGGAGTCTGTGCTCTGCAAAAAGAGAAGGCACCACAGTGAGAAGCCCGCATACCGCAGTGAGAAGCCTGAGAAAGCCCAGGCACAGCAACGAAGACCCAGCGCAGCCAAAAAATAAAAATAGGAAAAAAAATTTAAAAACCCTCCCAACCCCACCTTGCTCCTCCTCTCCTGTCCTCTCCACATGGCCCCTGCATTTAGGTGATGACCTGCTGACCTCATGGGTGGTCTCCTCGAATCGGCTCTGACCAGTTCACAGGAACCGGAACCGTTCGCTCCACATTCAAATACTGACATCACATCAGCAGCCTGAAATGACCATGGTAGGAAGACTAACACCGTGGGAATCAGCACATGCTACAAATGAATGACTGATTTCTAATTTAGCTCAGAAAGCCAGACTTTAATCACTTGCCAGCACACCCCGGTAGGAAGGCCCCAGGGCGTGTCGGCCACTTGCACATCCGCCCATCTCTGCATGGGCTATTCCCTCTGCTGCCCCTGCTCCCTGGGATGCCCCTTCTGTCTCTCTTCTCTGCCTGGAGAGACCCCAGGAAGATCCCAACCCCCTTTCCCCGTCCCCTCCAGTGCAGGGATCCTGTGCCCAACCTGGATTTCTCACCTTGTCTTCTATCCTAGAGGTCCTTTGGTTCCCAAAATGCAAACCAATTCAAAGCAGCTTCAAGAAAAGGCAGAAATAGGTGTGTGGGGAGAGGTGAATGTCACAGGACCTGGAGGAGAAAGTTAAGCTGCTGTCACAGCCGCGAGGAAGGTGTGCACCAGCTCCTCTTTCTCTCAAGCTCCAGTCCCTGACGCCAGGGTTCACGCACCCATCTTGGCTTCTCCGGAAGAGGCTCCTCGGACCCCTGGTTTGCGTGAAACCCCAGATGATCAGCCACAAATCAGAGGCTCTAAGCCCTGGCTCCAAACCCAGGATTGTCCCAGCTTGGCCTGACCATCCGAGGCCATGGGGCAGGGTCACCTTGCTATGGGGAAGGGGGAGTGACGTGGCTGCTGTCTCTTTAGCCAGGAGCCATGGGGCCAACTCAGAGCCAAGAAACTGGCCCACCTCACAGACTAGAGGCCAAGCCCATGAGGACAGAAAACGTGTTTACTCATCTCGAGACACCCCCAGTCCCAGCACAGAGCAGGGGCCCGATACATATTTGTAAATTCAAGCAATCACCTCATTCTGAATCCTTCTCTCAGCAACCTGTGACCGACTTGGTCCCTGGAGAGGGAGGCAAAGGGCTTTGAGGAATTCAATGGGGAAATGCTGCAAGCTCAAGTAACGAGGCATCCTTTTCCTTCAGTTTCTGGCTGCGTGACCTTGAGCAAGTGGCTTAACATCTCTGGGCTTCAAGGACCTCACTTGCAACACAAGGACTGTGATCTTGCCTAATGCAGGGTTGTGGTGAGGATGGTGGGACATGGGGGTCCCACAGCAGCTGGCGTGGGACCTGACACTGTGTGTGTGTGTGTCTGTGTGTGTGTGTGTGTTAGCCACTCAGTCGTGTCTGCCTCTTGGCAGCCGCCTGGACTGTAGCCCACCAGGCTCCTCTGCTCATGGGATTCTCCAGGCAAGAATCCTGGAGGGGGTTGCCATGCCCTCCTCCAGGGGATCTTCCCGACCCAGGGGTAGAACCCGGTCTCCTGCACTGCAGGCAGAGTCTTTATCACTGAGCCACCGGGAAGCCCCTGGAGCTTCTGTCCTGATCTACCCTGAACCCACAGAACAGGGTCCCCCACCGCTCTCCCATTAGGCTTCCTCTCCAGGTCTGACGTGACTCCAGCCAGCCACACACAGCACCTCTTCCAACCCCACCAGGGCCCTGCTCCCAGAGAGGTAAGTCTGTGTGGACACCCAAGCGCAGCCACCCCTGTCCACTCCCGCCCCTGCCCCCAGGTATCCCCCCAAGACCTCACCTGCCGTCCTTCACAAGCCGTCTACAGCTGTCCTCCTCCACCAACAGGACAGCAGTCCGCCCCGCAAGGGCTGAGGGGGAATTCTGAACAGGAAAGAAGGAAGCAGAATTGGGGAGACCCAACTGCCCTTCGGCCTTCCCCCCGCTTTCTATCACTCTCCGTCTGGGAGGCGAACTTTCCAGAGACCACAGGATACCTCTCGGGGAGGGATGTGTCCTGCTCAGTCATGTCTGACTCATGGCAGCCCCGCCCTGTGGACTGTAGCCCACCAGACTCCTCTCTCCATGGAGTTCTCCAGGCAAGCCTACCGGAGTGGGTAGCCTTGTCCAGGGGATCTTCCCCACCCAGGGATCGAACCTGCATCTGCTGAGTCTCCTGCATTGGCGGGTGGATTCTTTACCCAGGTAGAGCCGCCTGGGGAGCCCAGGGGGAAGATGAGAGCAGAGCCCATGTTACCTTACAGGTGACCCAGAGAGCAGGTGGAAGGAAGGCAGGGCGGGCAGGGTCGTTCCTTGGAGTTGGAGAACGTGGGGAGCAGCCAGAGCCGCCCTTTCCCGAGCCTCAGCCAGGAAGGAGGCTGGCCGGGGCCACTTCTGACTCCCTTCCTGCTCCAAAGGTGCTGCGACTCTCGCCACGTGGGAGGCCTCTGGCGGCTCACCAGCCTTTGTGAGGAACTCAAGGAGACCGTGGCAAAGGTTTCTCACCATGGAGACCCGGGACAGTTCGCTCCTTCTCGCTCCCAAGCAGGCAGCATGCCTCCCTGACCCCTGGGATGGGGCCGAGATTCGCACAAATCTGTTTTCCAAACCGGCACACACCGGAGAAGCAGACGGGAAGGACAGGGGCTCAGAGACCCAGTTGTGGCTCTGAAGCCCGGGGCTGCGGGCCTGCCCAGCCGTGTCCAGCTTCCTCTTCTCCCAACTCCGGCTTCCTCCGCGGGACGCTCCCCCCTGGCGCACGCGCGCTCGGGGGCAGGGAGCCGCGCCGCCTGGCGTCCCTGCGGTCCGCTGACCCCTCGGGGCCCTGCTTCCAGCCTCACTGTGGCCTGGAGCACTCTCCTTCATCGCCTCGCCTTGGGAGGCAGAGCAGCTCTCCGTAATTGCTTCTGGAAACGCGGTCACCAGTTTAATTGGTAGAACGTGTCCTGGGCGATGCTACCGGGTGAAGCAGCCTCGGGCCTACCTGTTTCTCGGGTGGGCGGGAGGCCACCGGCCAGGGCACGTCTGTGCCTGTGGAAGCCAACCTGTACCTGTAGACGTGGCAGGGCTTCCGGGGACCAGGGAGTGCGGCGGACGCTGGGATGAGGGGCGGGACAGACGGGAGCAGGCTGAGCCCAGGCACTCCTCCGCCTGGGAACCACGGAGGAGCCGGAGGGCGAGGCAGTCACACTGAGTCACGGGGCCCCCGGAGGGCTGCTGTCCACGGGCTCCCGGCGCCGTGAGGACAGGCCAGCTGGCCCCTCCAGATCGGAACTCCACCCCGTGGGTAACCATGACCCTGTGGGGTTCGGCCAGTGGGGTGCTCTGGGGGGAGATGGGAGGGAGGAGAAAAGGGAGACGTGGAAAGAAGGCAGGATGGGGGGAGGAGGGACCGGAAGAGACCGCGAGCCTCCCCCTGAGAGGCTGCAGAGAGTTGAGCGCATCCTTCGGTGGGAGGGGCCGCCCTGGTCAGTGGGGCGCCCGCCCCGACCACAGACTGTCCACAGTCAGCTGAGGCGCCCCTGCCACACCCTGGGCCAGGGGTCGGTCTCCCTCTTGGCTCCCTGCACCTGCTGCCCACACCTGCTTAAAACCAGCCCCGAGGTGAAAACGACCCTCCAGTCATTGCTGTGCTGTTTCGGGTCAGGGTCTGGAAGCATCCAGAGGGCAGTGCGGGCCGCTGTTGGTGAGAAGTGACCCCGTCCTGGAGGCAGCACTGTCCTGCCCCCTTCCCGCACCTCGATGTGGGTTCGGCTCTGGTTTTCTTCTCAGCTGGCCCACCCTGGGCAGGTGAACCCTTCGGGGAGGGTGGGTGCACGGGGCTTCCTGCAGGAGGGGAGGGGGGCCCTTCACACACACACACACACACACACACACACACACCCGCCCCATGCACATGTCTTCCCCAGGGCTCCTAAGTCCTGAGCCAGCTAGTTCTGGAAAGGACATACAGACCATCCAGGCTCCCCGACGGGGGTCACCTCCAAGAAGGGGGTGATGCAGGCAGCCCTTGGGGTTCCTGTGAGGAGGGGGTAGGAGGTCAAAGACTCTGAGGTTGAGGGGAAAGCAGGCACCCAGCGGGCAGGTCCATGGAGCTCCCCCACCAACCCAAAGACCCCCACACCCCCCGAGGCTCAAAGGTTATCATTCACTGCATCTGGCTTCCCACACCCCCACCCCCCAGTCTAGCCCAGCCTCCACCGCCCGCTCATACTAGAGGCCTCCATGCTCTCCCCTCTACCCCACCATGAAGCCCGCCTGGCAGAGGGGGCCAAGGCCCGGCCACCCGATGATAAGGGTCTCCACTCAGTCACACCCAGGATGCTCTCCCAGCCTGGTGATTAATGGACTTTAATTTTCCCAGCACCTCAGTCATGCCCCCTCTTTCCCTCTGGTCTGTCAGGGCGTTTGTCTCCCACCCCTGCAGTCCTTCTCGCCCTCCCCCCTTCTTTTAATTTGAAGCATCTGTCTGGAGCATCCTGAGATGGGGCTGTCTGCAATACTGAATGCATTACACTGCTGACAGCTCTATTGATTTTCTCTCTCCCGCTGCATAATGCAAGATATATACAAGCCGATAGGCCGGGCCCCCATCCCTTACTCTGAAGGGCCTGTGCCCTTTTTTCTTCCTCTCTCTCATGCGCCCCTCATCCTTGGCATCTCTTACGCTCAGGATGGATCCTCCTCTGCCCTGATATTATTTTCCTCGCTGCTGGTGGACGCTGTCTAATCCATCGTTTTTACGGTAGCAGGTTGGACACCATGGAAGCCGTTCACGGTGTAAAGCCGGGGGTGGAGGCAGGGGAATTGAGGAAGTGGCATCTGTCACACTGGCTGGGTCCCCTCTGGGCACCAAGCGGGTTTCCCCAGGGGCCTGCCTCACCCAGGTCCGGGGCCGCCCCTGCGCACCCCCTCTTCTCCGGGTTGTAGTGCTCCAGATCCACTGGCAACTCTTACTTTCTTGGCTATGCTGGGTCTTCCTTGCTGTGGGGGCTTTCCTCGAGTTGCGGTGCGCAGGCTTCTCATTGCGGTGGCTTCTCTGGTTGCAGAGCACGGGCTCTAGGGCATTTGGGCGTCAATAGCTGTGGCGTGTGGGCTCTGTAGTTGTGGCTCCTGGGCTCCAGGGCACAGGCTCAGTAGTTGTGGCACACGGGCTTGGTAGCTCTGTGGCATGTGGGATCTTCCCAGACCAGGGATCGAACCCATGTCTTCTGCGTTGGCAGGCGGATTCTTTCCCACTGAGCCACCCAGGAGGCCCCATTGGCAGCTCTTGGCTTACACTCGGTTCTCAGCCCCAGAGCCAGCTGCTGGGCTGAGCACTGGCTATTGTGGTTTCCGCTGCCGACAGTTGTGTGGACTCCACCCGCTCAGCACAGGGACTGGGAAGTCTTAGAAGGATTCATATCCCTCCTCAACAGATGCCAGGAGGCTGGTTCAAGGTCTCTCAGTCAGACATAGGACTTCAATCCAAGAGTCTCCGTCTCCAGGGACAGTTTTCCTCAAATACCATCGCAGCACTTCCTCCAGGAAGACCTCCTGGATTGAGGCCACCCAGTCTCATTGCTTCTTTTGCTATTATTGCTCATTGCTGTTCTTGTCCCCCCCTGGAACATATTTGCGGTGAAGGTTTGCTCTTGCTGGCAGGCTGCTGAGCGTGTTGGGTGGGTTCTCTCAGCTGTGAATGGGCACCATCATAACTTCCTCCTGGAGGGTTTCCCTGAGCCCAGCCCACCCCCAGCCTGGATTAGGCTCCCACGGTCCCCATCTGGTCCCCCCATGAACGAGAAGCACTTAACGCCTTATCTGTGCCTCTCCTGCTAGTCTGTGAGTTTCTGGAGATGGAGACAGAGACGCAGACCGGATCTTAATTCTGTGTCTTCACCACCTGCCTGAAGGAGCTGACAGAAGGAGCTCTCTAAAAATGGTTGAATCCATTTAATCAGTCAATGAGCTGTCTGGGCAGGTGGGCGTCTGCTCCCTTAAAGGCCCCTTAACAACAAGCTCCCCGGGAGCCTTTTCTGCCTCCTGCCTCCACCCCTCCCTCACCAGACCCCATCTCCACACAAGGACCCCCACTGGAAATGGTCTTCCTGCTGCTGAAGAAGAGAGCACCATTCCTAAGGGCCAGGGCTCCTGGCCGATGGGCCTGCACGTGCTCCTGTGGCTGACTACCTGCCCATACCTGTCCTTGCCGGCCGGTCAGAGACCCACACAGAAGCAGTAGAGGAAGATGCTGGGCCTTTGAGCATCCCAGGGCAAGGGCCAGGTACCAATGAGCAATGGCCACTGAGTGCAAAGACAGTGGCCTGAGCACAGGGGTACCTGGCCACAGGTGCAGGGCAGACATCACTATAATAAAGAATGTCCTCTTGGTTTCTGGTCCAGTGGCTCTCAATGTGGAGCGATTTTTTTGCTCCCCAGGGACACATGGCCATGTCTGGAGATGCACTTGTCTGTCACAGCGGTGAGCGTCTGGCATCTGGCAGGTAGAGGCCAGGGAGAACCGAACATGCTACGTTTTCAGAACTGCTCCCCACCCGCACCCCACCCGCAACGAAAGGAGAATGACCCGGTCCAAAAGTCGGCAGTCTGAGTTTGAGAAACCCTGTTCCAGTCTGACCAGCCATGCCTTATGACTTTTAGCACAGAAGCTGGGAGAATATTAAACCTCCATCTCCGGGGCCGGGGTGGGGGTCTGGAGGCGGGAGGACCTGAAGTTACTCTTTGAGGGTGGAGGAGGGGAGAACCCTGCATCCCTTTAGCCACCTCTGGTCCACGCCCCCCGCCCCCATAAAAGCACCAGCCCCGTGCCCACACCTTGCCTCTTTCCCTCCCTCCGCGTCCTTTCCCCAAGTAACCAAATTAAGCCAGAGGCACCCTACCCTCTCCTCTCGGGGCTGAAAACCTTTAAGGTTTAATAAACAACCCCCAGCCAGGATGGTTTAAAGGCCAGCCCTGCCGGCAGCCGACGGCATGGGCCTCTTGGGGGCCTCTTAGAAATTATATGAGCTGGTAGATATGAGAGCACCCCGTCAGGTATGAAATACCATACAAGTATTACCTCTAATTTATCTAAGTGCTCTCAGTCGGAGGTTTTCGGATTCACGGCAGACAGCGGCCGGTTCCGTCCCTTTCTATTTCCAGTCACAGCCTCAGCACCCTCGTGTGGCCGCTGGTGGGAACTACACCCAGGGCTGGGCGGCGATTTTCCGATCCTGGGGGAGGCAGGCAAGGTGGTTCTGATTCTCACTCTCCCATTGGGGCGTCACAGCAGCCCCGTGAGGGAGGACAGGGAGGCAGTGATCCCCCCACACACGCTCCTTGCTTTAGAACAAGCGACGGAGACGGGACTGCAAGCAGGCACGGGTTTTTGCAGGGTGATGTCTGCCGTGGACAAGCCCGGCCTTGCAGAGCAGCGTCGAGTGGGAACGGCCATTTAGGGACGCCCCCCTCCCCCGGGCCCCGTTCCTCCTGCCTCCCGGCTCCAACAGAAACCATGAACTCCCCCACGGGCACCCCCAGGACGACCGTCGTGCCTGCGGGCACAGCCCTTGCTGTTCGGGACTCGGGTTGGCTGAAGCACCAAACCCCACCAGCCTGGTTATCCCAGTCCAGGGCCTGGCATGGAAAAAGAGTTCGCGCATGCGTGCTCAGTCGCTCAGGCGTGTCCAACTCTTTGAGACCCCATGGACTGTAGTCCCCGCAGGCTCCTCTGTCCATGGGATTTCCCAGGCAAGAATACTGGAGTGGGTTGTCATTCCCTTGTCCGGGGGATCTTCCCGACCCAGGGATAGAACCCATGCCTCCTGCGGCTCCTGCATTGACAGGCAGATTCTTTATCACTGAGCCGCCGGGGAAGCCCCATTAGACACAGTTTGAATGAATGGAATGAATTGAAGGAGAGAAAACACGGAGGCCTAGGAAGGTCTTTCAGGCCCTCGGGCCACGCCCTGTGTCGTCAGCGCCCTCCGCCCACCGTGAGGTCTGTGCGGATTTCTCGGCCAGTCCAGGTCTCCTCCCGATGCGCCCTGGAAGCTGTAGAGACATCTAAATTGGGCAGCCCTCAGGGGAGGCTGGGGCCGGCAGGATGATGGGGGAGGAAGGGGCGGGGGATGCCGGGGTGGTGGGGGCAAGGAGAGAAGATGAAGGCTTCCTGCAGCTCTGGACGCGTCCTCTGCCCACCTCCAGCCTTCCGACCAAACAGCCGCCCCCCACCCCTCTGCTGAGACCCTCCTCCCTCGCTGTCGGATACTGACAGTAGCCCTCCTCATTCCCACGGCCACCGTCTTGGACGTTCCAACCCATCCTCCACGCTTCATGGCCAGAGTGACTCAGTAACGGCAACCTGGGCCAGGCTCTAAAATCCAGGGGCCTTCATCTCCTCCCTGGGCCCCTCTTAGAGTTTAGAGTGTCCGCATCACCAGGGAGGTGTCTGTTGAATGCAGCCTCCCGGGCTCCACCCAGAGCCGCAGGCCGTCTCCCAGGACCAGGGCTTTGGCTCCTGTTTCCACTGTTTCCTGTGGGGCTGACCTCCCCGTGAAGGAGGGAAGCCTTCCCTCCAGGCTCCTAGCTTCACCTTTCAGTGGCTGCAGCTGATTTTACTATTTGTCCCCCTTGGGAAGCTGGAAAAAGCCTTGGGTACTTGAATACAGATGTCTTTGTGTTACTGGACGTTTATGGTCTTTTCTTAGGCAGTTCAAGAGGGTGAATGTCTGTCTCTGGGGTTGCTGCCAACAGGAAGGTCCAGGAACTTCCCTGGTGGTCCAGTGGTTAGGAACCCGCCTGCCAGTGCAGGAGACACGGGTCCAGGCAGATCCCACGTGCCGCGGGGCAACTCAGTCCGAGGGCCACAACCACTGAGCCCATGCTCTAGACCTTGTGCTCCACAGCAGAGAAGCCGCCCCGTGAGAAGCCTGAGCATCGCAGCTAGAGGAAAGCCCTGGCGGCAACGAAGACCCAGTGTGGCCAAAAATAGAATTAATTAGGTAATTAAATTTAACTTTAAAAAGACCATGGGTGCAAGTCCCAATCTGAATTGCACAGTTTCACTGGGATTTTTTCAAGTGTGAGGGTGGGGCGGGGGGGTTCAGCTTCTCTCCCTGCTCCCGTGCCTGTCCTGCAGGTCCTGTGAAGGAGAGAAGCACCAGACATTCACTCAACAAATATTCTGTGGACCTACTATGTGCTGGGCTTTTCTCTGTCCACATTGATCCTCCCTCTGTCCTCCCTTTTCCCCTTCCCTTGCTCTCCATCCCTTTCTCCCTCCCTCCACCCCTCCTTCCTTCTCTCCATCCCTTCATTCATTCATCCAACCACCCCTCCATCAATCCATCCACCCTTCATATAGTGAGTGATCTAGATGGATCTGCATCCGTCTGAAGGATCCTCCATGGCAGCTCTGAGAGACTCTGTAGCTTTATGAGCCCTGCATTTGGAGAGTTATCAGCAGAATGCAGAACCTCATTCTTGCCTTTATTAAAAATTTTGAAAATCGGTGCAGATGTATGAAAGGTTTAACACTGCCGCACAGTCTATGGAGAGGCGCGTGGGAGTAACTGCCGCATGGGTGACGGGTGACAGGAGGCAGAGATGCAGGGTCCTCCCCGGAGGAGAGGGGAGAGCTGAACACTGAGGATGAGCAGGCAGACGCCTGGACTTGGGAATTGTGCATGGGAAACCTGCTGGCTGGGCTGAAAAGGCCGGTGCTTCTGCCCGAGCAGTAGGGGAGAAAAGGCCAGAAAGGCAGCAGTGCGAGACGGAGGGGCCGTCAGGTCAGCCTGGTGGGTCTGACCGTGTCTTCCTCGGGCCCCTGGTGGCTCAGACAGTAAAGAATCTGCCTGATCCCTGGGTCGGGAAGATCCCCTGCAGGAGGAAATGGAAACCCACTCCAGTATTCTTGCCTGGAGAATCCCATGGACAGGGGAGCCTGGCGCGCTACAGTCCGTGGGGTTGAAAAGAGGCAGACACGACACTGAGCAACTAACAGTTTCACCTTCTCAGTGCAGAGCTGAGGCATCCTGACCTTCAGATAATCTCAAATTAAGCCCCTACCAATTAGCCTTTCTCATGGTTAACACCCAGATGCATCTGTAGTCACAGAAATACAGTCTGACTTCTTTTAAAAGGCTCTCCAGCGCAATTAGAGGATCTCACGATCTCCCAGGGGCAACGACTGCAGGTTTATCTTTCCCTCTATCTCCAGCATCTCTAGGAAGATGCTCAACCTGGGGCTCGTCTAATGGGAGGAAAGCGAGGAGGGAGGGAGGTGAGTTCAAAGTGAGGTTCATGGTAAAGGACTCCTTCTCTTTCAGGTGGGCTGCTCTGTAATAAGGCCCACAGGGCAATTACATTCTGATGTGTGGTTATTAAATGGGAGGGGAGAAACAAATATAATAAAATGTAGACATTTGTAAGGAGGTTAAAAATAAAATGGAAGTGGAGGATAAAGATAAAATCAATAACCTCAGGCTTCCCGGAGCCTGCCAGTTCTCTAAGAGCTGAGGGTAAATTTGTGCCGAGAAAATAAAATGCCAAGGATGGGATGGAGGCTTCAAGGGAGCAAAGGGGGAGAGAGAATGTTGCCTTCCCAGAGCTGCTAGCATGTTGCAAGGCCACATACAGCCTCAGGAGGAAGTGGTCAGGAGTCTGGAGCGTGTGTTCGAGTCCTGATGTCACCTCTCCCGGCAGCTGACAAGCCTTCATTCTCCCCTGGGTAAGACTGGGGTAAATGACCAGGCCACCCCTCACCAGCACACCTGAGGATCACAGAGGCCCTGTGGGTGAAGTGCTTAATGCAGGGGCTGCCCAATGAGTATTCCACAGAGGTCAGCTATTCCAGGTTTTAACTTGCTTTTGTAGTACCAGTTATTTATTTACTGCTGCACCACCAGCAAGTGGAATCTTAGTTCCTTGACCAGGGGGCCTAACCCACATCCCCTGCAGTGGAAATGCAGTCTTAACCACTGGACCACCAGGGAGTTCCCAATGGTACCAATTCTTAAATGGACTTCCCAGGTGGCTCAGTGGTAAAGAACCAGCCTGCCAATGCAGGAGCTGAAGCTGCGAGTTTAATCCCTAGGCAGGGAAGATCCCCTGGAGAAGGAAATGGCAATCCACTCCAGTATTCTTGCCTGGGAAATCCCATGGACAGAAGGAGCCTGGCAGGCTACAGTCCATGGGGTCGCAAAGAGTCAGACACGACTGAGCGACTTCACTTTTGCTTTCCTAGAAAGAGGTTCTAAAATATACACAGGAGAGTCCCTTCAACCTGAATATTCATTGGAAGGTGATGCTGAACATGAAGCTCCAATACTTTGGCCACCTGATGTGAATCAGAGCTGAGTCACTGGAAAAGACCCTGATGCTGGGAAAGATTAAAGGCAAAAGGAGAAGGAGGCAGCAGAGGATGAGATGGTTGGATAGCATCATGGACTTAATAGACATGAATTTGCACAAACTCTGGAGAAGGCAATGGCACCCCACTCCAGTACTCTTGCCTGGAAAATCCCATGGACAGAGGAGCCTGGTAGGCTGCAGTCCATGGGGTCACTAAGAGTCGGACACGACTGGGCGACTTCACTTTCACTTTTCACTTTCATGCGTTGGAGAAGGAAATGGCAACCCACTCCAGTGTTCTTGCCTGGAGAATCCCAGGGACGGGGGAGCCCGGTGGGCTGCCGTCTATGGGGTCGCCCAGAGTCGGACACGACTGAAGCGACTTAGCAGCAGCAGCAGCAGCTGGGAGATAGTGGAGGACAGAGGAGCCCGGTGTGCATGTTCATGGGGTTGCAAAGACTCGGACGTGACTTAGGAGAACAACGCTTCATTTAAATGAAAAAAATCTCTGCCTACGTGCCCAACACAGAGGCCTAATGAAAGTAGTTGATAATAAGTCCTAACACAGGTCTTCAAACTGGGTCTGAAATAAAACCTAGCAAAGGCAAGGTGGGATTTGGGCGAAGGAATAGAGGCGGTCAAGAGTGGGAGCAGGGAGGCGGCCCGCTGCGTTCAGGGAGCTGCACTGTTAATCTAGGCCAGAAGAGGGCAGAGAGGCGCCATGGGAAGGGCAAACGCCTGTGCGGTTTCTTGACCCTCTGCAGACACCGTACCCAGCTTCCTCTAGGGCATGGTTTAATTGCCCGGAAGCGGAAGTCTCTTCCCTTTCCGCTCTCTTCGCTTCTCGCCCGTTAACGTGAGTCTCTATACCGTACGTGGGGAGTGGGGTAGTAATCCGTGGTCATCCGCGCCGGATGCTATCTGAGGACCCCAGTCCTGGGTTGAAGGTGTTGCGGGGGGAGGGTGGGGTGCGATGGGGCCGGCATTCCGGGGGCGCGGGGCGGGGAGGCAGGGCCGCCGCCAGAGCCCGCGCCCCCCGTTGACGCCGCCAACGCTTGTCTTCCCTGCAGGTTCCGGCCGCGCGCCCCGCGTGTCGTCGCTATGGTGAGTACGACCTGGGACTCCCCTCGGGACGGGGGCGAAGGCAGGGCGGTCTCTACGAGGGTCTTCAGGGGCCCGAAAGGGGCTGCCGGGGCTGGAATCCCCAGCACATGCGTCTCAGCGGCTGATTGCCTTCGCTCTGTCTTGCAGCCTCGCAAAATTGAGGAAATCAAGGACTTCTTGCTCACGGCCCGGCGCAAGGACGCCAAGTGTAAGTGGGCGCCCTGGACGGGAGGCGGCGATCGCGGGCCCCGGGACGCCCCCCGGAACGGCGGGCCGGCGCCGGGCGGCCGCTTCTGCCCTCGTCGGCTGTCGGGGTTCGGGGGTCTCAGTCTGTTTCCCGTAAGACAAGACGTTTGGTCCGGGGTGTGTTCTCTTCTTTAAGGAGGGTCCTCAGGGGTGTTTTTGTTTGGTGTGTGGCGGGTACTGTGAACGGATGTGAAGAGCTGACTCGTTGGAAAAGATCCCGATGCTGGGAAAGACTGAAGGCAAAAGGCGAAGGAGGCGGCAGAGGATGAGATGGTTAGATAGCATCCCCGACTCGATAGACATGAAACTCAAGTTCCCGCAAACACCGGGAGAGTGGAGGTTCTTGCTGGGGGCACGTCTGGAAACGCAAGTTTCACAAACTCGGAGTCAGTGCTGCGTGTTGGGTTCTGGGCCGGAGAGAGGACAGGTTCTGTTCACAGTGAACTACGTCATTTTTCTTCTCCGTGTATTGGTGTCCTGGGTTGTAAACGAAGGGGAAGGGTCACTGATAGGAGACACATAAAGCAGCAAGTCTTTGATGGACATGTGACAGCCCCAGCTGCCTTCGTGTGCGCGCGCTCTTTTCCCTGAATGTGAGAGGGAGTCCTCTCGTCTCTTTGTTGAAGGAGGTTTGGGGAGGCCGTGGTCAGCACTGGGTTTGGACTCAGACGTTGTGTAGCTTTAACACATCTTTTTTGGGCTGCTACTTGCAGTTTGCCTCCCCTCCCAGATAACGTCCTAAAGGGAAAGTTGGGTAACTTGTGAAAGTAGGGTACTCTTGGCCAGACGGGGTAAGTGGGCTAAGGTACTGAGGTCTCTGACGCCCTGTCTTAGTGGTGGGGTGAAGCGGTGGCTAGAGAGAGAGCCTTTTGGGGATTTGGAGGTGGGGCAGGGAGAATCGTAGTTGTGTCCCTGTTACCTGAAACAGGCTATTGACTTTGAGCCTCTGGTACTGTGGGAACCACAGGTGACCACGTGCTCGTATATTTTTTATTTACAGTTAAACACGAAGAGAAGCTTCAGTCAGGTTTAGACCAGACTAGGGAATTTGCTGTCACTTCCTGGGCTCAAAGGCCAGCTCTACCAGTGGGTGACTATGGGATCCATGACCCCACTGTTGCCTCTGTAGAAGAGGGGGGTGATACCTGCCTCTCAGGATTGGTGCCAGGATCAGACCAAATGACCCAGTAGAGAATTTTAGCACGGTGAAGAGATGACACCAGATTAATCAGACTGCTTTGCATTACTGTTCTGTTTGGGAGTTTGATGTTAAAGTGTGACCTGTGAAAGCAGGGGTCATGTTCTCCTGGATATGATAGGGTGCCCAGGAAGTCTTTTTTAGATAAACTTAAAAATTGTCTTCATAGTTGTAAGTGCAAAATAAATAACATAAAATTTACCATTTTTAGGTGTGCAGTGTATGTACTGTGTTTGAATATATTCATATTGTGGTGCAGCCATGCTTTTTGAGAAATTGTCATCTTGTAAAACTATAACCCATTAACCTAGAGTCCCCAGCTGTTTTACACCAGGGACCAGTTTTTCCACGGGCTTGGGGAGATGGCTTGGGTTTTCACCCATCGCCCACCTCCTCCCAGGCAGCCTGGTTCCTAACAGGTCTTGGGCCAGTACTGGTCTGTAACTCTCTCCCTCCAACCCCTGGCGACCACCATTCTTTCTGTCTGTAGTACCCTGACCACTGTCAGTACCTCATGTAAGTGAAATCATGCAGTATCTGTCCTTTCATGACCGACTTCATTCATTTAGCATAACGTGGACATTTGGGTGGTTTCTGCCTTTGACTTTTGTGAGTAATGTTGCTGTGAGTTTTGATGTAAAATATCTCTTGTCCCTCCTTTCAGTGCTTTTGAGTATATTCCTTCTATCCCTGGGATTCTCCAGGCAACAATACTGGAGTGGGTTGCCGTTTCCTTCTCCACATGTGTTGTTGAGTAAACACTTTTTCAGAGATGCTTACATCTGACCTTGTGAGAGTTCAGTTTACTGGTGTACGGCAGCTGCTAGGAACAACACAGCATATTTAGCTTTGAGAGGAATGTTAAGATAGGGGAGTAGATTGGTTTGAATAAAAATCCACGGCCCTGATTTATTAGAATGTGAGTGAGCCGAGGCAGCCGGTGTCTTGGGCAGGTTCAGCTCCAGTTTCTGCTTCCTGTGACATGCCCTGCCCCTTCAGCAGTTACTGGCAGAGATGGAGTTGCGTGTAGTGTGGCCAGGTCAGCCTGCACTATGGGAGTCAGAATGAGCAATTTGAAGGGTTCCAGACAAGAATAACCTGGAAGAGGCTGTCTTCCGCTTCCAATAGCTGCTGGCCTCATAGTAAATGCATTGACGGTTGTACATAATCAGATTGTTCACTAAATTTCAAACTGCACGCTGTTGAGTTTGGGGCACACTTAGGGCTCTTTATTGTCCAAGCTGTGGTCCTGATACAGAATTTTAAAGCCATATAAGATGGATACCGGGTGGTTTGGAGTGTATTCACTGTACCAGATCCCACTTGTGTTACAAATACAGACCTTAACTCAGGTTCTAGAGTGTTGATCCAAGGAAAATGTAGATTTCTGACACTGAGGTCAGAGGGGGATGGGGGATCTTATTTTCTGTTTCATCAGAGGGACAGCGAGGGAGGTGAGCTCAGCAGTCCCGGGTGCTTTGTGCAGAAGAATCAAACAGCAGGTGGACTGTGTGACGTCTCTCCTGTGACACAGTCTTATTACTAACTCTGGTCTCTCTGGTAGCTGTCAAGATCAAGAAAAACAAGGACAATGTGAAGTTTAAAGTTCGATGCAGCAGATACCTTTACACCTTGGTCATCACAGACAAAGAGAAGGCAGAGAAGCTGAAGCAGTCCCTGCCCCCAGGCGAGTAGGCGGAAGCCGCGATGGGGGGTGCGGACGGCCTGCGACGTGGGAGGGGCCTGTGTCAGCAGCCAGTTTCCTGACCTGTCTCCAGAATCAGGAGAGCCCGTTCTGGTTTGCCTAAGTATCTGCTGCTGCTGTTGGTGTCGTGGGCAGTTCTCAGAGGTTAGATTCAGAGGGAACCATGCCTTTCTAATGCAGCATCTTAGCTGCTGGCGCTTACTCCCTGGGTCGCTCATTTCATCCTCACCATGGCCCTGCAGGGTAGGGAGGTGCTGGTATCGGTGGCCCCCGTTTTCGCTGGTTGAGAAACTTAGTGAACACAGCTGGCGATGCGGGTGGATTAAGCAGAGGGGCCGTCCTGGTGGTGGAAGGCTTGGCAGAGCAGCTGGGAGCCTGGAGCCCAGCCAGGTTCCCCAGGCCACGTCTTCACAGCCCAAGTCAGCCAGCACTGCTTCCTGTGTGAACGTTGACTGGAACACCTTGAGAAGGGCCAGCGGGAGCGTTTTATTATCAAGCACTAACTTAAGTTTGAAGCAGACCTCCCTGGTGGGCGTAATTTCCGAGCTCTGTGCGCCCTCTTTAGCCCAAGTGCCAGACCCAGACAGGCAGCAGTGACTCAGATGAGTCGAGTCTTCTGATTGGCTCACATTTGTGTGTCTTTGCCTCTAGGTTTGGCCGTGAAGGAACTGAAGTGAACCACGCACGCTGCTTTGAACTGTATTAAAATTTTTAAAATTCTCAAAATGGCCTTTGTCTCTGAGAATGGGGGTGGGTGAGTGCTAACTTGGTGATGGTTTCTGGCGGGAATAGCGCGGGGTCCTGGCTGCTGCCTTGTTTCCCCCCTAATCTTGGGCTGTGGTCCCAGTGGACAGATAAGCCGTCTCTTTTTAAGTCTAATTTTGAAAGTAAATAGAAATAGGCAGCTAAAGGAATCAGATACTGATGGAAATAAAGCTAGTCTCCACCTCTGAGATTTAAAAGTCACTTAGGTAAAATGAGCTCCCCGGTAATGAAAATGATAGTTGGACGGAAGAGTTGATCAGTCTTCTCAGAAGTGGCAGTAAAGGAAGCCGGCTTTTCCTCAGAATCCTCAGGATGGGTGGCTTTTGTTGGCTGCCAGTGGGCCCTTCCCTTAAACTGATGGGAGCTGAGGCGGGCGCTGGGAAGGCAGGCTGGCACTGCCACTTGGCAGCCTCAGACAGAGCCTATGGCGGGGTACCTCTGCCAAGGGCTGAGGCATCCACAGGACCCGTGCGGGCACCTGTGCAATCGTATCGGGCTCAGCATGTTCTCTGCTTAAAACGTGCCTGAAGCACGTGGCCCTCTGTGGGGAAAGTAGGGGGGGTCCTCTCACTGAGGCAGGAGGGGGTGTGGAGGCGAACTGCCCTGCCAACTGGCAGGCGCCCACCAACCACATGCACAGGTGGGGGTGTGGATTTTTTTTTTTCTCCAGACCTAGGTTCTCAGGCACAGAAAAGAAAATACTGTGTGTTTACTAAGTAGAGCTCAGGAGTGGTGCCAGCTGCTCACCAGATGAACACAGCTGGAAGGACAGTTTAGATGAGGGTTTCCAAGAAGGAGCTAAGAGTGGAGGTGGGTGGGTGTCAGCCCAGCGACAGAAGCCCTGGGAGCCAAAAGACTGATGCGAAATCCAGATGATGCGAAATCCAGATGACGTTTAAAGGGAGGAGCCAGAAGTCTGACCCCGACCCCAGGCAGTGGAGTGGTGGCTGTGAGGGTGGAAGGTGCTTGCTGGCTCAGGCGTGGGCAGGTCCAAATAAATCGGTGTGACCGCTGAGGTCCCAGCCAGGCCTGGCTCCTGGGGGCTCAGTGCTGCTTCCACTCCTCGCTGGCTTGCTGGTCTTGATCTCATGTGCTTTTTCCGTGTGTGGTAAGTTGCTTCAGTTGTGTCCAACTCTGCGACCATATGGACCGTAGCCTGCTGATGTTCGTCCCATCCTTGTCAAACTTTGATTATCTATGCGAAGGTTTCTTTCTGAATTCTGTCACTGCCCCACCTCACCTGCACAGTTGCCAGTCCTTGGGAGGGCTCCATACCTGTCTGCCGCGTCTGGTGTCAGAGTCGCCAGGGGAACAGTCGAGCGCAAATGGGACACGGAGCGAGATTGCCTTCAGCAGGGGCTGTGGATCCCCTGTGGTGGGTGTCTGCCAGTTGGCAGGGCAGTTCGCCTCCACACCCCCTCCTGCCTCAGTGAGAGGACCCCGATCCTTTCCCCACAGAGGAGGAGGGCCACGTGCCTCAGGTACTCTAAAGCAGAGAAAATACTGAGCCCCATACGATTGCGCAGGTGCCCGCACGGGTCCTGTGGATGCCCAGCCATTGGCAAGGAGGTATTCCCGCCGCAGGCCCCGTCTCGGGCTGCTGAGGGGTGGTTGCCAGCCTGCTTTCCCCATCACTCGGCCTCAGTTCCCATCAGTTTGTGGCAAGTACTTGCCCATTTCCAGTGGTTTTAGTCCTGAGCTAAGAATGAAACCGAGGGGCCTTCTTGGCGCGTTGTCCCGGGCGGGCCGCAAGGCGGCGCCAGAGTCCGGCGAGTGAGGGCAGGAGCCCCGCGAAGGTCTGGACCTGGTTTGCACTGATAGCATCTAAGCAGCCGAGTGCTCGAGGTGTCTGGCAGTTTCTCTCCCAGGAATTCTACAGCGTGTGGGGTAGTGACGCGCGTGTTTTGTTTTCTTCTGGGAGAAGTGCCCTCCGGGGCTCTGGCTGTGACCAGACCCAGATGGGGCGCCTTCAGCAGCTCCCGGTCTTGCCCGCCCTTTCACCATCCCAGCTTCCCGGGTTTACCGCTTGGGCTGCCTTTGTCCCGGCGCATTGTGCAGACACCAGCCCCAGCTCCTAGGATACGAGCCCTGCCAATGTTTGTGTAGAGAAGGCATCCTTTCACGCTGTGGGTCTCAGCCCTGGCCTCTGCCTCCCAGCCACTTGGGGTCCTCTGTAAAAATCCACACCGTTGTGGCCAGGGCTGAATCCAGAGATTCCGTGTAGGTTGGCCTGAGGCATCGCTGTGTGGTGGAGCCCTTAGGCGCCCAGGGCCCACCACTGCCTTGCGGAGGTCAGCCCACAGCTTGGGTGAGCTGGTTCTGGCCGTGCCAGGTAAACGGGTGGGGGGGGGGGGGCGGCGCGTGCAGGAGGGCTGGTCAACCCAGGAACGCGTCCCCGGGAGGGCTCGCGGTTCCATTCTGCTGCGCCGCTTCTCTGGAGACCTTTGGGGAAGCGGCTAGAATGGTCGCTGCCTAGCTGGGTGCAGACTGGCCAAGCAGGTTTGCGTTCAGGATGTACCCCGAGGCTGTGGTGATGGCCCGAGGGTCTGCTTCTGCTGTCAGCATCAAGTGTGGGGTGCAGGCCCCCCTTCCCCCGCCCCCGCTCCGGACAGGTGGGCTCGCTCCCTGCCACTCACAGGGAGGCAGACCCCTCCCCCTCTCCTCGCCCTTACGGCACTTGCAGTTCACAGTTGTGACTCTAATCTCCTAGAGGAACGGCAAATCCTCCTAACTTCCGGGTCAGGGAGGCCAGGATCAGCAGCTGCAGCCCCGGGGGCGGGATGGGAGGGGGGGCCGTGTCTGTGGCACCAGGCAGAGCCTACCCCGGAGGCCCCAGCAGTGAGGTCACACTGGTGAGTGCCACCGAGGGCCCTCGGAAATCGCTTCAGGTGTCCGTCTTGCTCAGACCAAATCCCTTGCCAGGATCCATGGCAAGGACCATTCCATGGCCCACCTTGCCAGCTTCTTTCTCTTTTTAAAAAAAACTATAAAGCAAGGCTAGTTGAGGGGCAACTTACAGTGAAATTCACCCTCCCTGGTATCCAGTTCTCTGTATTTTGTGCCGCTGTGGAACCGCGACTGCAGTCCAGAGAGGAGTCTCGTCCCCCCACCCCCAGTTCCCTCCTGCACCCCAGCCCTTGGCAGCAGTCACGGGAGTTTTCCAGCGCCCCCTTGTCACTCCCCTAGCTGAGTTTGGACTCACTGGTTCCCCTCTGTGCCCTGCGGGCCTTGGGCCCTGATCTCACTGTGCTCTGTCTCCCTGCTCAGAATCCAGCCTTCTTCCCAGGATGCCCTGAGTTAACTTCTTCACATCTTTCAGCTCTCACCCCGTGTCATTTTTCAGGAAATGTCCCCGCACCCCAGACTCAGTCCCATTTCACAAAGATGGAAGGCCCTTGGGGGTGGGGTGGGGTCTGTGGCCAATCACCACGTGGGATGAAGGCCGCCCCCTCCTCGCCTTCACACTTCCGCCCCCGCCGGCCGGGGGGGGGGGGGGTATGCTTTGCTCACCAGTGGGTCCCCTAGAGCCAAGAAGGTGCTCCCAGTTTGTTGGATTAATGAAAGGAAATTCCAATGACAGGAACAGTGCTCCCCAGCGACGAAGATGGATGGCTGTGGTTCCGGGAACCTTGTCTCAGACTGTGACCTCCTGGAGGAGCGGGAAGTCTTAACTAATAAACAGGGCTCCATCTCCCAGTCCTGGACCTCTAATAAGGGAAGGGGTGTCTGTACTCTGTACTCCCCTAGTAGTCAACGCGTTTCACCCATGGAGTTTCACCTTCATCCACCTGGTTCCCCCAGCCAGAAACCTAGGGCTCTCCCTGCATTGCACACCTCACCCCCACCCTGCACTACCACTGATCAGACTGCCTGTGACTCAGCCCTGAGCTTCTCAGGATCCCTTCACCACCGAACTCAGACGGCCCTTTACCCAGCCTTGGACCCTGTCCCAAGACTTACCCTCTCCTTCTGGCCCCGTGCCTCCCACAATCACGGAATGCTGTTTGGGTTGTGGGAACGCAGCCCTTTCCTGCCCTCGAGGCTCTGTTGGACCTGGGACTGCACCCCCCAGCCCCACCCTGGCATACTGCTCTGCCTTCCTCCAGAGCATAGCTAGCACCTGTCCTCCTGAGTACCACTACCACCTGCCGCTAAACCACAATCCCCGCCCAGCCAGACTTTCTGTCAGCTTTTGTCCACGGACAGAACGTCTGGCACCTAGTAGGCCCTTGATTAATTTGTGTTCTCGAAGGCTCCGACTCCCTGGGAGGTCTAGCCCTCCCAGGCTCCCTCCCCTCCCCCAGGCTCCAGGGTCTCTCCCCCGGGAGGTGGGGACCTTCCAACCAGCTGCTTCTTTCCAGGTGGGACCCATTAGTTGTTTGGGCAGATGACCTGGGCGCTCCCAGGGCAGGACCGTGTTTACAGAGTGGATGCTCAATCCCAGATGAGAGTGAATTTAGAACTAGTGACCCAGGGACTGGGTCCCTTTGGTCTGCAATCTGTCAGTTCGTCACTTCAGTTGTGTCCGACTTTTTGGGACCCCATGGACTATAGCCCGCCAGGCTCTGTACATGGGATTTTCCAGGCAAGAATACTGGAGTGGGTAGCCATTTCCTTCTCCAGGGGATCTTCCCAACCCAGGGATCAAACCCACTTCTGTGTCTCCTGCATTGGCAGACAGGTTCTTTACCACTAGCGCCACCTCTACCCTCTAAAAGCGCTAGGAACGGCAACCTCGCCTTTCTCATGCAATGAGTCTTCTCCAACACCACAGTTCAAAAGCATCAATTCTTTGGCGCTCAGCTTTCTTTATAGTCTAACTCTCACATCCATACATGACTCCTGGAAAAATTGTAGCTTTGACTAGATGGACCTTTGTTGGCAAAGTAATGTCTCTGCTTTTTAATATGTTGTCTAGGTTGGTCATAGCTTTTCTTCCAAGGAGCAAGCGGGAACCCAGAGACTGTTGTTAAAACGAGACAGATTCAGGAGGCTTCTGGGGACTGTTTGCCCTTCTTCACCTCTTTCGCCTGGACTTGGGCCAGGACAGATTCCCGATCAAAGAAAAGCTTCAGGTTCTAGGGCGTGACCCCCGGTGGCCCGAGGGTGAGCCCGGGGCTAGGGGCCGCCCTGGAAGGGGCGGGGCGGGGGCCTGGTCTCCGGCTGGGCGGGGCCGGGGCGGGGCCGGGGCGGGGCCGGGGCCGGGGCGGGGCGGGGCGGGCGCGCGCGTCCCGTGCTGAGCGGCGGGCGGGCGCACTCGGGCTGAGCCATGCCGGTGGCGCGCGTGGAGTATATCGCGCCCTGGTGGGTGGTGTGGCTGCACAGCCTCCCACACCTCGGCCTGCGCTTGCAGCCTGTGGACAGCACCTTCAGGCCCCGCGATGAGAGTTACCAGGAGGTGAGTCCGCGACCCGACGCCCCAAGTCCCCGCACCGCCCCTTCCCGCCTCCCAGCCCGCCGCGCTCCGCGCGCCTCCAGACCCCACACCCCAACCACCCGACACTCTCCCCGCAGCCTCTTCCCGCTTCGCCCTTTCCCCCGCGAGTCCTTGGCCCACGGCCCTCGCGTCTGGGAACCTCACCGGCCTGGAAAACTGGAAAGATGGGAGTTAAGCCGGCCAACGGCACGGGGGGAAGGGCGCTTCCTGCGGGGCGGGTGTGGGGGCTGAGCGCCCTGGGACAGGGCAGCGCCGCTCAGGGGTCGGGGCTGGGGGGGCATTGGTGCCTGAACCGGTGATTCCCGCGCGCCAGCTGCGGGGGCCGGGGGGCGGGATGGCGAGGCGCTCCCCGGGGTTTCCCTCCTCTGCGGGGAACCAGACGCGCTCTCGCTTTCCGGGTCTGTGCGGCCTGGGAGAAGTTTGGGCAGAAACGGACTGGAGTCTCCGCGTTCGTCTCCGCGGCACCCCTCGTCCCCAGCCCCTGCCAGCCCCTCCGCCTGGGCCCCTACTGGAAGGCGACAGAGCCAGAGGAGAGGGGTGTGGACCCGCAGCCTCATGTGGATATGTGGGGGAAAGAAAGTGCCCCCCCAACACCCCCAACCCCTCCTCTGTACAGACACACCTTCTGAGCCCCAGATTTCTGGGGTCTGGGCGGCTTGGCCAGCCTCTTCCCCCATCCCTGCAGTTCTGCCCTCGCCCCGCTCAGCTGGCCCTTCCCTCCCGGGTTTCTGCACCCCTAGCGGGAAGAGGTGCTCCCCTAGGCTTCCCCGCCCAGACCGAATGCAGAGTCTCCCAGCCTTGTCAGGTCTGGCCCAGGCCAGTTCAGCCCCCGAGGCCAGGCTGAGTCAGTTTTCTGTCGGGTTAAAGATTCCGCGGCTGAGAAACCCAAAATGGGGCCCATTTGTTTAGACCTATGCGCCAGTCTGGGGACTTTGACCCCCAGCGGGCAGGTTCTCCACAATCTCCGCGTGTGGGGCGGGCCTGGGCGGAGCCGGGCCGCGGAGGTCAAGCTGGCAGTCAGCTGTTCACCTCTCCCCAGCCAAAAGACTTTCTCCTGCAGGGTCCCGGGGATCCTGATGCAGTGGGGTGTGCAGGGCGCTGCTGACGGGGGGTCTAATAATAACCCCCAGTGTCCTTGTCACCCGCGGGCCCCAGGCAGATGGTGCCTGCCCTTCCAGAAGCAGGAGAGGACCAGGCCCTTTCCTGCTGCTGGGCAGGGAGCAGTCGGCCAGTTTGGCTTCCGCAGCTTGCACCCTTCCTGGTCTGCACGCCCCCTCCCACCCCCTCCCTGAGCCCTGCCTAGGGAAGGCCGCTGGCTCCCTGAGAACGCGGCCGCCTGGGGAGAACTCCAGGGAATCTTCCGCTCCCAGTGAATGCAAGAAAAGAGGCGGATATGATTTCAGAGACAGCTGTGTTGCTTGCAGATTGTGTGTGTGTGTGTCTGACCCCACATCTGCTTGTCCCAAACCCCGCTACCCAGATCCTGTCCTGCAGTCTCCCACCGTAGCTCTCTCCTTTCCTCTGGAGGAAAAGTAAGCTCCCTACTGGCTGGAGACGACCTTCGGGTGTGGGGCGGGGGCTGGACGGGACAGACAGCTGCTGTCTGGCTGTCCTGGTGGGCCTGAGCCTGCCCCACCCCGCTTGGTCCCCTGGAGAGGTGACAGCCAAGCCAGAGGGACCGACTCACAGTCCCTGTCCCTCTCCTCCCCGTGTCGGACCCTGGCACTCCAAGGGGCATCCCCTCTCCCCGGCCTCACCCCCACCCTGCTCGTCCTGCTCAGGCAGTCCGAGGGCCCTGCCTGGGATCCGAGTGCGGTAGGGCCGGACAGGACTGAACAGGAAGTCTGGCTCTGGGTGTTTATTTCAGGTGGCTCCCGTTCTGGTGAGTTCCCCTGGTGTCTGACCACAGGTCTCTTCTGGAAGTCCCCTTCCCCCTGAGCAGCAGTCACCGCCCACGTCAGTTAACACCATCGACCAGGCACTTTCTGCTGTCATCCCAGCGCTCGGCAGAATCCTGACTGGGCAGAAGCCCTGCGCCAGGCGTGGGGTCACGCGCTAACCGTGCCACCAAGGCCTTCGGGGCTCAGCAGCTGAGTAGCTGGGAGGGGGCCGTGCGTTGGAATCCGGAGTTTTGTCACTTACCGTGTGACCATGACAGGTGTCTGTACCTCCGAGCCTCCCTTCCCTCCTCTGCAAGTAGTGAATGAGCTGTCCCTTGAAACGTGCTTAGTACCTCGAGGGTCCCCTCGCACGTGGTGGGCCCAGTGATGCAAATCATTATGCAGACTGGCCTTGATGTTCAAATAGCGCGTCCAAGTACAGTGACGCATGGAGGATGCAGACGAAGGATCCGCCGCTGTCATGGTCAGGAAGGGCTGAGAGACACGTGCCGAGGGGGCTGCAGCTCATGCCCCTGGGGGCCAAGTGAACTGTGCCAGCTTGTGGTACGGCATGTGTGTGTTTGTGCGCGCGGACCCACGTGCGTGTGTACTCACCAGAGATTAAGTGGAGCTGGGAACAGGCAGTCAAGCTGAAGGACAGCTCAGGGGAGGGGGCGGGCTGTGCCGGGATCCGGGAGGTACAAGGAAGCCTGAGGGACGAGCAGGTGGCCTGGCGACGACCAGGACATCCTGAGCAAAGTCGGCCCCAGAACTTCCTTGAGGAAGCAGGCATCCCCCACGCCACCCACTTTCTGGGGTCCTGGGAGCCACTGGGGAAGCCCACTGGTGGGTCAGTCTTTCCAGCCCTCCCTGCCAGTGAACCGGACCCTGAGTCCTTGCCCGGATCACCTGGGCCTGGTCCTCCAGGCTCATGGGGAGGTGGCAAGCCCCAGGCCCAAGGAGTGCCCCCGCCTGGCTGGGCCCCCAGCTCCAGGTGGGGAAGCTGCAGAGACCCTCCTCACTTGTGAGATGGGGTGGGGATGGAGCAGATCCTGGCGTCAAAGAGCTAGTGAAAGGACCCCATCGTCCTTTAGTGGGTATAAAGCATGTTGCCAGCGCTGGGCGCTTCGTAAGTCGCCATAAGCCCCACTTGGCACGGAGGAGGCCCCCACCGGCCAGGTGTCGCATGGGCAGAGTTGGGGAAAGGGCCCTGACACTGCCCCCAGCTGTGTCTCCCCAAACCAGCCACCCCGGTTTCCCCTTCAGCGGCCCCGTCACCATCCATTCCAGAGAGCTGGGAGAGCAGAGCAGAGACTGAGAACCCGGTGCCTTTGCGAGGCCGGAGGCTCCAGACGCTGCTGCGCGGACGTTCGCTGCCTCTGCCGCCCTGCCTGCTCCCTCTCCCGCTTCCGCTGGCAGGCCATTGTCTTGGGACATGCGTGAGGAAGCAGAGGAAACATTCTTCACTTTTTACACATATCTCCACGTGCTAACTCTGGGTAATCCTGTTGGTAGGCTACGCAGAGTCTCACACACCCCCAGGGGAGGGTTGGATCCAGAGCTATGGGGCTCCTCCAACTTGGGGGCGTTTCTCAGGAGGAAAGACCACGCGGGGATCCCTCCCCCCACTCCCACCCCCACCCCACCCCCGCAGGATTTGAGAAGAGCCAAAGGATGAGGAAGCCCCATTCATCCAGCGTGAACCTTGAGTCATGGTCAGCAGACACTCACGCTGCCCCCCACCCCCACCCCGTTCGCTCCCACCAACCCAGGAGGTGGGGGAGCTTAACCCTTTCCAATCAGGGCCTCCCCCTGCAGCTCGCTGCCCTCTGGCCTCACCCCTGGGCCGGCACAGTCTTCATCTCCTGGGGTCTCGGGGTGAGGGGTGCTCAGGATGTTGCCCCCTCCCTCCCCCACCCAAGTGCAGAAGCCTCTGTGGGCTCAGCTGCCACCTCGGCATTCCCAGAAGACCCGTCGGTCACTGCTGCCCCCAGCTGGGGTCCTGGGTTCGTGCTGTGGTTTCTGGTTACAAAGTGAGAAGCCAGAATGAGTGGAAGTTGCTTGGATGAGGGGCAAGGCCTGAGCCCTGCTGCCGGGGCCGTGGGCTGGCTGTTGGGTGGCTCAGGGAGGTGGTGGTGGCCACAGGGGCTGGGAACCTGTCCTTTTTCGGCTCCATCAGCGCAGGAGGGCGTGTGAGTCGACTTCCTGGCTTCCTGCAGACAGGACATCCTCCCTGTAACACCCGGAGGTGTGTAACGGAGACCTGCAGAGTCCGTTAGAAGCAGGAGAACTGTTGCCTGTTAGAGGGTGGCAGGGTGACGCGGGGAGAAGGTTCTGCAGGCTTCTCGTCCCTCCCTCCTTCAGCCCCTCCTGCCCCCAACCTTAACCCTAACCCTGGGCTTCCCAGGTGTCTCAGCAGCAAAGAACCTGCCTGCCAATGCAGAAGACTCGGGTTTGATCCCCGGGACAGGAAAATCCCCTGGAGAAGGAAATGGCAACCCACTCCAGTATTCTTGCCTGGGAAACCCCATGGACAGAAGAACCTGGCGGGCCACAGTCCGTGGGGTCCCAAAGAGTCGGACATGCCGTAGTCACTAAACAACCCAAACCCTGATCTTAGCTCCTCTGCCCCGCCCTCGTGCTCCCACTGCCGGGAGAAAGTTCTGGAAGAAAACCGCTAACAGAAGGGCCTTCGAGCTTGGATTTCGCAGGTATGGCTTCCGCAGGCTGGGCCAAAGCAGGAATAAAGGAATTGAGGCCGGACGCCCGGCTTGGAAGAGGCCCCTTGGCCTGAGAATCCCAAGGCCCTGCCCGCAGTGCTGGGCTTGCAAGAGGTCAGGGGGCCCGAGTGTGTCGTGAGGGGCTTCAGAGGTGGGGACGGGCTGTGGTTTGGAGAGACTCAGGTGGCACCACCCCAAGTCGTGATCACTTCCCGGAGGTCCTGCCTTGCTGGATGGGGGCCCGTGGTAGAGTCCATGGGTTTTCCTGTTTGGGGGGAGATCGAGGGTGAGATTTTCTAGGGAAGCTGGGAGGAGGTCTGACTGTTAGCCCGTCTCTGATCTATGCAAAAGGTTTATCCGGGTTTGGTTTTGTTTTGTTTTGATTAGGACTAACTTATAGGGAAGTGCGCTTTCTTAAGTGTACACCTCAGTACGTGTATGTGTGTGCGTGTGTGTGTGTGTGTGTGTGTGTGTTCGAGTGTGTGTATGAAACACCACCCCAAGCAACGTATATCCCTGACCGCCCAGCAGGCTCCGTCTCACCTGATTCCCTCCCGGGGGTGGCTGCATCTCGGGCCCCTGTCACCGCAGATGAGTCCCCGACTGTGCATCTCACATCAGTTAAACCGCACAGCCCCTGCTGTTTCGTCTCCCTCGTTTCTTCCTACGTCGCAGCTGTAACAGCCACCCAGATCACTGGCTGTCGCTGCCGCTGGCTTTTCACGGCCGCACAGTATTCCGTTCTGTGGCTCTAGCACCTGTTATATGTCAGAGCTCTTGTTGGTGAGCATTTGGGGTGCTTCTGGCGCTTGACTCTTGCTGCAGCGTTAGGCTGTGGTGAACAGCTGTGGGCGGCGGCAGGGACACAAACCCTCCTTTCTGCCAGGGGAAGGAGGGGGTTGCCGGCTCGAGGGGTCTGCACGCTGCACAGTGGTCTGCAACTTGTGAAGGGGATCCTGGGCTCTAGCAGAGGGGCCTCGGGCCTGCGAGGGCGTGGCCAGGACAAAGCCTGGCGTTTACAGCCACCCCTTAGGCAGGGGCACTCTGTATATCGGTGCTCTGCTAAGCGAGTCTGAAGGAAAGGCTCCGCTGCTGCAAATAGTTTGAGAAAGTCTGTGGGCACTGCTCAGTGCTTGCTAGACTTGGAACGGGATACAGCCCCGCCGGTCATCTCCTGGCGCACTTCTGATTCACTGGGTCCAGGGTGGAGCTGGAGATGGTGCATTCTGCATCTCAGAAGAGGTCAGTGCTGCAGTACTGGTGAACTCCGCTTTGAACAGCAAGGCTCTGAACCCCTGTATTTTCTTGGGATCCAAAATCACTGCAGATGGTGACTGCAACCATGAAATTAAAAGACGCTTGCTCCTTGGAAGAAAAGCTATGACCGATCTAGACAGCATATTAAAAAGCAGAGACATTACTTTGCCAACAAAGGTTCATCTAGTCAAAGCTATGGTTTTTCCACTGGTCGTGTATGGATGTGAAAGTTGGACTATAAAGAAAGCTGAGCACTGAAGAATTGATGCTTTTAAACTGTGGTGTTGGAAAAGACTCCTGAGAGTCCCTTGAACAGCAAGGAGATCCAATCAATCCATCCTAAAGGAAATCAGTCCTGAATATTCATTGGAAGGACTGATGCTGAAGCTGAAACTCCAATCCTTTGGCCACCTAATGTGAAGAACTGACTCACTGGAAAAGACCCTGATGCTGGGAAAGATTGAAGGCGGGAGGAGAAGGGGACGACAGAGGATGAGATGGTTGGATGGCATCACCAACTCAATGGACACGAGTTTGAGTAAACTCCAGGAGTCGGTGATGGACAAGGAGACCTGGCGTGCTGCAGTCCATGGGTCACAAAGAGACACGACTGAGTGACTGAACTGACCTGAAACCCCTATCTGTCCTTGACCTTCTTCCCCATGGCCTGGGGCTGCAGGGCCTCCAGTGAGCAAACGGCTTGTGCTGGGGGCCGGCAGTGTTAGCTGCCAGTCACATCCAATTCTTCTGCTACTTCGTGGACTGTAGCCCACCAGGCTCCTCTGTCCGTGGGATTCTCCAGGCAAGAATACTGGAGTGTGTAGCCATTTCCTCCTCCGGGGGATCTTCCCGACCCTGAGATCGAGCCCCGGTCTCCTGCAGTGCAGGCGGGTTCTTTATACTCTGGGCCCCCTTGAGCCACCAGGAGGCCGACAGGGACGGCTCCTTCCCACGGTCTCCCCAGGCCAGCCTCCTGGCTCCGTCCATGGGACAAGCCTAGTGGTCCAGGCTCGGGGCCCCCGCCCCTGCCAAGAGGACTTCCACAGGGGGGTGTGTGTCCACTGGGCCTTCCCAACCGCCTGAAGGAGGAGGGCTTATGCTCCACGCCGCTGAGTCGGGAGGGTGGCAGGGCAGGTTCCTGGCAGCGTCTGTGACGCATTTCTGCCAGGTGGAGGCGAGAGCCACGCTTCGTCACAGCCGCCAATCCCACACCCAGTGGGCCATCTCCCCTGTCCACTTCCGGGCTGTCCCCATCACTCTGGCCATTTGTTCGTGAGGCTCGGGAGCCTATCGGTCCAGGTGACCAGCAGAGCAGCTGCCCCCTCTCCCCTGTGAGGCCCCGCCCCTTCCTGCCAAGATGACCTCAGGCCTCGAGACTGCAGGCCTCAGCCTCCAGGTGTGCGCACGCTCCGGCCTGAGACTTGTGTCCTCCTTAGACAGGAAGGATCCCGGTGTCTCCCCCAGTCTGCCCGTCTCCCCGCCGCAACGGCCCAGGCTGGAGGGCTGGAGGTTCCCAGCTGGGAATGACTCAGGGGCACGTGTGCAGCCGGGCAAGGCGGTCGGCTCAGGAGCCTGACTTAGAGCCAGGTCCAGACCCGGGGCCATCTGGTGGCCATCTGGCTGAGTCAGGAGACTGGAGGGCAAGGAGTGGGGGGCTCCGGGCCTCCCGGCCGACAGCAGCCCCCTTTATAGGATCATGCGGTGCTCGGCGGGCCTGAGTCGGCATCTCCTCTCTTTCAGAATTCTGGGCTTGACTGCCACCCTTGGCATCTTGGGGCGGCCGTCCCTTTCAGGGTGTGGTGGAAGGAACCTCCGCAGGTGCATCTCCTGACATCCCCCACTGCCCCCCACACGGAGTTGGTCTCTGGTTGGGAAGGGACCCCAACTCCTAAAGTGAGGCTCAGAGGGGGCCAATACACCAGGACGTCTGCCCCAGGCCCCCGCTCAGCTTCTGAGACATCCCGCCCAAGCCCTGCCTCCTCTGGGAGGCCTCGGATGCTCTGATCATGGGGCCGTCCCTCTCCTCGTCTCCCTCGGTCACACCGAGCATCGCCCACAGACCTCACGGTCCAGGGACAGTTCCTGCTTGTCTCTGGAGTGACTTGGAGCATCCTTTAGGCAGAGTGTGGTCCTCACCTTCATCCAGGTGTGTACGCCCCAGATGGGGAGCCAGCCTTGAGCCACGCCTCCTGCCTCCTCTCGTCTCGGGTCCTCTGCCCCCTCCCACACCTGAGCTCCATCTCCCCCCACTGCTGGTGCCCGAGGGCGGGGCGCTTTATACAGAGCAGGAGCGTCAGTCCTGGGAGGAGGGCATCGGATGTACAGCTCAGCCGCGGTCTCCACACCGCAGCCCCGCTGAGCTCGGGGCCCTTCCCCGCACCCCCCGGGACCCGGCGCTGACCCCGGTCCTCTCCGTCCTCAGTCGCTGCTGCTCCTGGGGCTGGTGGCCGCCATCGGCCTGGGCCTGAACCTCGTCCTCCTCGCGGCCTACCTGGTCTGTGCGTGCTGCTGCCGGCAGGACGACGCGGCGCAGACCAAGCACCCCCGCTCCTGCTGCGTCACCTGGACGGCCGTGGTGGCCGCGCTCATCTGCTGGTGAGTGTCCGTCTGCGCTGGGCCCGGCGAGGGCGGGGAGGTCGCAGCGCAGAGGTGTGAGAAGGACACAGCGGACGAAAAGTGGTCCTGACCGTCTGGGTCTCGCCCGTGGTCAGCCCCTTGACCAGGACACCCCTTCCTTACCTTCCACCTCCAGCCCCACCCCATCCTAACAGACGCCAGGTGGTTCATCAGTTGTTTGCCCACGTGGTCGTGCCTGAGCTCCAGGAACCCGGGTGGGAGAGCCTGTCTCAGGGGTGCATGCTGTCCCCCTTCTCGCCAGGCGGTGGGAATCAGATGTCCCAGGTGGTTATGGGAAGCTCCCTAGCATCCTGGGCCGCCACCCCCGGTGTGAGCCTCTCAAGCCCGGCAGGGAGCTCCCTGGGCAGTTGATGGGTGACAACTCTGCCCTCTGTGTCCCATCCCCTCCCAGCTGCCGCCCTGGGTCTGCGACCAGAGTCTGACTCCAGCCCAGATCAATTCCATCTTCTACAAGATCAATAGCTCTTAGCGCCCTCGGCCAGCTCTTCTCTGCTCCAATAGTGAGAATCTCTAACTTCATGTCAGAGCCAAGCTACTGCTCAAGAAGTGTCCACACACACGGGCCTTGTTTTCTCAAGAGCTGTATTTTTCTTGTTTTCTTTCTTTCTTTCTTTCTTTTTAATATTCACTTATTTATTTGGATGCACGAGGTTTTAGTTGAGGCATGCGGGGTCTAGTTCCCTAACCAGGGATCGAACCTGGGCCTCCTGCATTGGGAGCACGGAGTCTTAGCTACTGGACCACCAGGGAAGTCCCAGGAGTTGTTTTTCCTTGTATTTGTATCTACAAAGGTTTTCCCAAAAGCCTCAGGCCAGCCTGAAACACTCTAGGAGATGCTCCTGCTGGGATTGACCCTCTGTCTCCGGATGGGACAGGCAGACGGGGTCCAGTGAGCCTAGGCCCTGAGGACGCCCAGGGGCTGGTCCCCTGCGGCTCACAGCACTGCCCCAGGGCCATCTTCTCTCCATTAGATCATGTTCACCGTCTGTCCTGCCTGCCGTGTGGGGCTGCAGGGTGGAGGGATCTGGGGTGAGTGCCATGGAGGTCAGCAGTTACGGCCGCTGGAGTCGAGCTCAGATCAGAGCCTAGTTGAGGGAGGGAGGCAGGGAAGGGAGTCAACAAAAGCAGGAGGAGAGATCCAGAGTGAGGCTGGGGGGATGAGGAGGGAGCGGTCTCGAGGAGCTCTGACGGGCTGGTGCCGTTAAGGAGTTCAAAGCTGGGTGACTAGTTCTGGGTGGATGCAGAGGGTATTGATTTACGCGTTGGTTCACCAAAATGTAGCTGAAACGCGCGCGTGCACGCGTGCGTCAGACCCACGAAGCAGATGGGAACCTTGTTTCAAAATGCACGTTTCAGACCACCCTGATAACAACGGGTGCAGCGTGGGCCGCTGCACGTACCTGCACTTGTAACACGTCTCCCAGGTGATGTGTCCTGCGGTCCATCGACCATTTCCCGAGACACAATGAATGAGCGGTCACGGGTGCCCTGGAAGGAGGAGTCTGTAACAGCCTCCCAGGGGATTCCATAGCAGGTCCTGTCCCTTTCAAAGAAAAAAGATAAATGTAAACACATGTAGCTTCACCCCCACCCCCAAAACCAGTGTTTGGGATGAAAGCTCGAGGAGGCTGTTCGATGACTCTTCGGAGGACCCCCAGTGGTGTGAGTCAGATAAAATACGATCAATGACAGAAGCAAGATTCGAGATGATTTGCTCGGGCTGGAATGTTGGACCAAAACCAACCAGATGAAATTTCACGGAGATGGATTTAGAGTTCTGCTTTTGGTTAAAACAAAACAAAAGTCAGTACAGCACTAGAGGAAGGAGGAGCACCTGGGCTTCGCGGCGGTCCTTGGGGAGAAACCAGGGGTGTTTGTGGACCACAGGGTCAGTGGTGGGGAGGGAGGACCCCAGGGCATTAGCCCCAAGCTCGGAGCTGGAGGGACCGCCTGGGCTTGGGAGCGTCACTCACAGCACTGACCGACCCGAGAGAGTGGAACCAGATATAGACCAGGGTCTGGAGGACACGCTTGACTGGAAGCGTGATAAGGAGGGTGATACGGAGCCCCAGTCAGATGTCCAGCAGGTCATCTTGCAGAATTGGAAGCTCGTTCCAGGCTGGCCCTGAGGACAGCCAGAAACCAGTGGGTATGTGGTTTAAGGAGGTAGGCTTCAGCTCAGCGTAAGAAGGGACTTTATGGACTTCCCTGGTATTCCAGTGGTGAAGAATCCGCCCGCCATGCCAGGGACATGGGTTTGATCCCTGGTTCAGGGAGATCCCACCTGCTGCAGGGAAGCTAAGCCTGTGTGCCACGGGAAAGACAGGCCCACACGTCACAATAGAAAGAAGGACTTTCTGGAAGCCAGAACTTTTCAGTAGGATGGGCAGCGTCGGGGGGGTGGGGGAAGGATAGAGAACAGAGGGAAGTCCCCAACACTACGAGGATTTCACGAGACTTCAGTGCTCCCCAAGCCCACATGTGTCAAGTGTCCCCTGGGGAGCCTGAAAGATACGGGTCCCTGGGCCCCTCCCTGACTTACTGCCAGCATCAGAATCCCTGGGGCCCAGCCAGCAAAATCTTCCACCCTTCAAAGCCCCGGGACTAGAGAATAGGAATGTTTTCCTGTGGGCTAAACAAAACGTGCTGTAGAACTAGTTGGTCAGGCCAGGGCCTGCTGGCCCAGAGCCATCCCCTCATTGCCTGGCCAACACACTTGCGAGAACTTTAGGCCACCCCCTCCCCCCTACCGCCAGGAAAGAGCCCCTCAGCTGAAGTCAAGCACCGGCTCTAATGGATGCTTAGAGCCTCTTGCATCATAATTGCTAAGATTTAGTGATGCTGGGAAAGACTGAGGTCAGGAGGAGAAGAGGGTCGCAGAGGATGAGATGGGTAGATGGCATCAATGGACATGAATCTGAGCAAACCGTGGGAGATAGTGAAGGACGGGGAAGCCTGGCGTGCTGCAGTCCAAGGGGTCGCAAAAAGTCAGACATGACTTGGCGACTGAGCAACAACAATAGTAGAAGCAACCAGGATGCCCTTCGGTAGGTGAACGGCTAAATTGTTTTTATTCAAACAATGGGATCTTATTCAGCTCTCAAAGAAAAATGAGCTATCAAGCCACGAAAGGACATGGAGGAATCTTAAATGCATTTGAAAAGGCTACGTACTGTATGATTCCAACCATATGACATTTTGGAAAAGGCAAAACTGTGGAAACAGTGAACACATGAATGGTTGCCAGGGTTTGCGGAGCGGGGAGGGGTGGCAAGGTAGAGCACAAAGGATTTTAAGGGCCGTGGAAGTGCGTGTGATACTACAGTGGCAGACACATGCCCTTATACTTTAAGAGTGACCCTACCGTAAACTGTGGACTTTGGGTGATAATGGTGTGTCCTCATAGGTTCATCAGCTGTAACAATCGTCCCATTCTGGTGGGGGCTGTGGATGGTGGGAGAGTCTGTGTGAGTGAGGGGCTAGACCACGGGAACTTCCATATACTTTCCATTCAAGTTCATCGTGCAGTTAAAACGGCACTCAAAAATAGCGTGCTGAAAAAAACCGTCTCCTCCGGGTGTCGCCTCTAACTTTGGGGTCTTGCCCACAGCGCTGCGGTGGGCGCGGGTTTCTATGGAAACAGCGAGGCCAACGACGGGGTGTACCAGCTGCTCTACGCCCTGGGCGACGCCAACCACACCTTCTCCGGGATCGATGTGCTGGTAAGGCCCCCGGCAGCCAGGCGCAGGCCGCGAAGTCGGCCTGGTCCCCACAGACGCCCCGGTCAGATCCCGGCCCGCTCGGCTCCAAGGGGGTTGGTCCCGCAAGGAGCAAACAGGCCATGTCTGCTCCCCAGGCAGGGGTGGGAGTATAGACCCAAGGAGAAAGGTGGATGGGGCCTGGGGTGGGGGAGGGCGGGACGGCCGTGCGATCGAATCCTACCCAGCTTTAGGAGCACTGTGCCCAAGAGGTTCTTGAATGTGGAAGATCAGCCCCCAACCCCCCTCAACCGACACACAGTTTTTTACTGGTTTGTTTGCTTTTGGCTGCACTGGGTCTTTGCTACTGCACGGGCTTTCTTCCAGCTGGGTTGCTCTCTTGCGCTGTCTTCTCTCGTCGCAGAGCACAGACTCCAGGGCCCACGGGCTTCCGTGGCTGCAGCTCCCGGGCCCCGGAGGGCCAGCTCGATAGTTGTGACGCTCCCGCTTAGTTGCTCCGCAGCACGTGGGATCTTCCCGACCCAGGGATCAAACCTGCGTCCCCTGCGTCGGCAGGCGGCTCCTTTCCCACTGAGCCACCAGGGAAGCCCCTCCCAGTGTTTTCTGCGTTCACTCTCAGCGCTGAGTACAGAGCATCGTGGGTCGGGTCTAGGCGATGTCAAGGGGAAAACGTCAGAATCAAGTGGAGAGCCCCGAAGCCAGCGCGGTGTGCTTCGGGCCCTGGTTTCCAGGGACTTTTAGCCCAAGGCAGAGGTCTACTTGCTGAGCCTTGAGTGCGGGGAGGCAGGGTCTTCCGAAAACACAGCCCTCGCCCCCACCTGCCCCTCATGCTCGCGCCCCAGGCCTTCCCAGCTGATCTCCCAGCAGCCCCGGGGCAGCCCCAGTGTCCTGGGAGCTCGGCTCCAGGGCAGCTTCCAGAAACGCCAGCTGCTCGACGTCCGCCCTGGGCCAGGTCCCCAGCAGAGGGGTGACCTCAGCCGACGGCTGACTGTGTCCGGCGGCCTCAGCCACACAGTCCGGCCCCGACCAGAGCGCGTGGACTTCATCCCGGTGCTGCTGGAAGAGGATTCTGGAGGAGGACTCACCCCGTTGCACCCCCCTCCCTTAAGCTCCTCTAAGGCCTTAATCCCCCAGCTCTCCGGGGACCAGCTCCCTTAAAGAGACAGCTGTGCTGGTCTTCGGGTGGGGTGGCCGGGTGCTGGCTGCCCTGGCTCTGGCCTCAGATAAAGTCCTTCTGGGAAGCCGAGGGTCACAGGCTAGACCAGGGGCCCCGCTCTCCTGCTGAGTTCATCCGTCCACCCTTTGTGTCTGCTGGGGCCCATCCCTGGGGACCAGGAGCTAGCTGTCTGGACCCTGACTGGGGCAGCTGTGACGGGGCAAGAGTGCGGCAGCGGGTGGAGAAGCTGGGGGACCAACACAGGGGGCCCTAGGCACGCCCTGGCCTGGGGCGGGGCTCACTCCCTGGGGACCCCTACCCTCATTTCTGCCCTGATGTGGCAGGGGCCTCACCCTCCAGCCCCAGAGCCCCTGGGGGAAGAACTCACTCTCCAAAGGAGAATCTCTGGGAAGCCCTGGAGCCATGCCTTTCACTGGCTGACCTGTGACCATTGTCAGAATGACCTGTGGCTCCCCCAGGAACCGAGGAAGAAAGTCTCCGAGCCATCCTGATGGGAAAACAAATGCTTCATGTCTTTATCACCCAGAAATGAGCTGGGACTGGGACCCCCAGGCTGGGCCCCTCGCCCCATGCTGAGAGTGCCCCAGGGCCAGGGGCACTGCCTGGAGAGGCAGGCCCTGTTCTGGGCCTCCAGGGCTGGTTTTGACCTTGGGGTGGGCTCCCAGGACCCCTAGTCACAAGGGCTCCCAGGAGGCAGCAGATCTTAGAGGGCCCCCAGATCTGAGGGGTGAAGGCCAAATATCAGATGAGACGAGATGATGCCTGTGAAAGTGCCTGGTAATCTACAAAGAACTCTCCAAATGTTGGTGGGGGAGCTATGCTAATGGTGCCATTATTATAATTACTATAATAATACATACTCCTATTACTACCACGGAAGAGTGGAAGCTTTGATTGGGGGCGGGGGCGGGGAACTCAGGAGACAGGTCAGGCAACTCAGACCTGGGCCAGAGCAAGGTGGGCCCTCCCAGGCTCCCCTTCCTGGACCAGGAGGCCAGGTGTGCGCCCTCCCGGCCTGGGGGAGCCCTGAGCCACGCTGGCAGCAGGGTCCTGAGGCAGCTGCACACACTGATTTGGGGGCTCAGAAAGGGTCACTTGGGAGTGCCGTGGGTGGATCCTTTCCCTGGATCCAGTGACCCCACCTGGACCTCTCTCAGGGCGCCTCTAATCCGTCGGTGCTCAGTCGCTTCAGTCGTGCCCGGCTCTGTGACCATGGACTGCAGCCCGCCAGGCTCCTCTGTCCATGGGAGTCTCCAGGCAAGAACACTGGAGTGGGCTGCCATGCCCTCCTCCAGGAGCTCTTCCTGACCCAGGGATGGAACCCTCATCTCCCATGAATCCTGCATAGCACTTCTCTACCACTGAGACTGCGCTGTCAGGGAAGCCCATTGGAGTCTCGGCCTGAACCATGGCCCGGGACGCCACACCTCCGGGAGCTCGGCTGGCTCGGGTTTGAGCTGGCAGCCGGCCTGTGGGCAGGCCTTTGGGTGAAGGAACGGGCACAGAGAGCTGGTGTGGCTGCCCCAAGGTGGGGAGTTGGTACCTTTCAGAACTCAGTACTAGAACCCAGGGGTCTGGTCTCAGCCCTTCCCCTCCAGGCTCTGAGATGCGGGGCCTGTCCCCAGCCTGCCTAGGCTCCACCCCTTCACCTCCCGCCTTGTCTAGAAAACCCCATTCCCTCCCTCTCTGAGAAGGAGCTTCCTCCCGGTCAGAGATTTTCAAACTTGAGCTTGCATCAGAATCCCCTGGAGGGCTTGACAGACACAGATGGCGGCCCCTCCCCCCTCCCCAGACTCTCCGCTGAGAATCTGCGTGGAGAATTTGTTCCCAGCTGATGATGCGAGGCCGCTGGTCCAGGGGCCGCAGCTGGAGAGCGCCTGCTCCATCCTCCGGGGTAACAGCTTCCTCCACCTGCTAGCTTGCCCCTGACTTCCCCCCAACTTGGGGAGCTGAGCCAGCCCTCTTGATCCGAAGAGTTTCTCTTCCCCATGGGAGAGCCTGTTCCATCTCTGACTGTACCCCCCTCCCTGTCTCCCTTCAGGGAGCTCTGTGCTAAGGGCTGGGGGCCGAATGGGGAAGGGGCAGGTATAAGTGGGTCAGCGCTCTAATTTTAATTTTTTTCTGTTTTGTTTGGTTTCCTATGGGAAGACATCAGGAGGAAAAGAAGTCCTGGCAGATGTTTGCTGGCTTGTGTGTGTGTGTGCGCTGCTTTTTTTTATTTTTTCCAAGGAGGAATTTAAGAAATAGAGAAGTGAAACATTTTAGAGCTATGGAAGGGGATAGAAGTGATCTTACAGGAAAAGTTTGCAGAGCATTTTTAACAGCCTTGTGGTCTAAAGTGAGTTAGGCTTCATATAGGAATACGGAAACCACACAGAGCGGGTTTGCTGCCAGCGTTGACGTTTATGAAGACTGCCTTTGGATCAGTGGCTGCAAAGCACTTGTCCGGTGACCTTACTAAATTGAAGAGGAGCGTTTGTCCGGGTGAGGGTTAGCTGTTGAATTCACCAGTGTGTGTGCCCAGCGTCTCTGCACTTTGGTATCTCTTCGTCGTTAACCAGTTTGTAAGAACCAGGAACGAGCCAGAGAAGGGAACAAGCCGCTGACACTGGAAAAAATAAAATGCTACAAAGGGGGCCATTCTCTTTTGTGGAGCCAGGAACTCACAGCACAGCGCAGATGTGACAGGCTGTGGAGTTGCTGTCAAGCCCCTCTACCTCGCAGAAATAGCATTTGCTGCCAAGAGTGGGGTCTAATGATCTCTCGTGGAGCTCTCACCCTGGGAAGTTCCTAAACATTCTTCGGGGTCTTTGTGTTTGGTTTTTGTTTTTGTTTTGTTTGTTTGTTTTTGGCCACACCGCAAAGCTTGCAGGATCTTAGTTCCCCAACCAGGGATTGAGCCCATGCCCTCGGCAGTGAAAGTGCAGAGCCCCGACCACAGGACCTCCAGGGAATTCCCGCTCTGGGTCATTTTTCTCTTCCCTGCAGACCTGGGGAGCTGAAGCCTGCCTGAATGATTAGCACATGCTCCCCGATTCCAGCCAGTTGTGTCTGTTGGTGAAACGTGACCGTTTCAAAGCAACCAAGCCCTTACTCCCCTCTTGCCGGCACCCAGGCTCAGAGCAGGACTGGGGGGATGGTGCTTGGAATTCTTGGGCTGGGTCTCAGGGCCCTGTCAGGACCCTACATCTGGGCAGTTGAGAAGCATCTTTCCAATCCTTATGGTCCTTGTTTGCAAGCCCAGGACAGTCACCACCGTTGACCTCCTCTCTACTTGTGAGCAGAGAGATGCTTCCTTCAAGGTCTGCTCAACTCCACGCAGGGCAGGCGTGGGGGCCCAGGCGGGTGGTGAGCACAGAGAAGGCACCGGTTTCCTCCTCCCGTCACGTGCATGTCCGGGCAGCATCGGATCTGCCTGTATCATTTCAAAGTCCCATTGTTCTGAACTCGGGTTCAGGGCGCTGTGAGCCGTCGCTCGCTCCGCAACAAAGCCTTTCTCTTGTGAGATGCTGAGAAAGCCTTTGTGGGAACCAAAGGTCAGGTAGCAGCAGAGGGTTTAAACATTTTATTCCTCACCCTCAACAAGAACTCACCGTCCAAAGTATTTAAACTTGGAAGAGAATCTTCAAGGAAGAAAAATGGCTTCTCTTGTTTGTTTCCCCATCTGGCTCTGTCTCCCTAGGAAGGCACTGGGTCTTGGAGGCCGGGTCCTGGTTAGGACTAGATGAGGCCTGTCCCCCGGATGGAGGGACCCTCAGGCTGGGTGGGTAGGGGGAGGCTCTGCCATCCATTCTCCACCTGGACCATAGCCTCATGACTTCAGAGCTGGAGGCGCCCGTGGAGCACTCACTCAAGGCCAAGTTCTTCCCCTCCAGTTTGAATCAGACGGTGTACCCCCTCCGGCTTCCTCCCCCGCCAAGGTCAGACTCACAAGCCCCCCCCTCCACAGGTGTCGGGAACCACCCAGAAGATGCAGGTGGACCTGGAGCAGCACCTCGCCCGGCTGGGTGAGATCTTCGCCGCCCGGGGCGATTACCTCCAGACGCTGAAGTTCTTGCATCAGACGGCGGGCAGCATCATTGTCCAGATGGCAGGGGTGCCCGCGTGGACGGAGGTCACTGAGCAGCTGACTGAACTGGCCAACCAGACCAGCTACGTGGAGTACTACAGGTGAGGGCTCCCGGGAGAGCCAAGTTCTTGGTCAGGGGGAGGGGGCCACCCTAGCTTCCTTCAGCAGAGCCAGCATCTTGGGCTCCGGCAGGGAAGTGCCACCAGAAAGTCTCACTAAGCCACTGTCTGAAATCAGAGTGTACGAGAGCTCGTGGGGGCCGAGTGGAGGCAGTGAGTGCAAGCAGCTTGTACACGCAGGCACTGAGCCCCCCGGAGGGGCAGTGATGAGCCAAGATCTCAGGCTGCACCTGGCCACCCACCCAGCACACCGCGGGGGGCTCTTCTGAGACCAGCATCCTCAGGGCTGAGTGAAGTCCAGGCGGTTTACGCGTTCTTCTCCTTCTCGGATTGCGGGGCCAGGGCTCCTTGCACCTGCAGACCCAGCCCCAGAGGAGCAAGGGGTTGGGGAGATGGCAGCCCCTTTGGCAGCACAGAGCCTCCCCTGGTGGTAACTGCTTAGCAAGCTCAGAGGTGCCCCCCAGCCTCAGAGATGCCCCCCAGCCTCAGAGGTGCCCCCCAGCCTCAGAGGTGCCCCCCAGCCTCAGAGATGCCCCCCCAGCCTCAGAGGTGCACCCCAGCCTCAGAGGTGCCCCCCAGCCTCAGAGATGCCCAAGACCGGAGTGATAGGGGCTGCAGGGCACCACCCCACCTTTGCCATAATCAGGTATGCAGACTGCGTCCTTGGACCTCTGGGGTTTCGTTTATGTCTCCCCTGCCTCCCCATCACCCAAACCCCATCCTAGGTGATGGCGGTGGGCACAGGCCATCTGACCAGGGATCGGCTGCCCTCCGTTCACGCGGAGGGTCTGGTGAGGGTCAGGTGAAGGTCACTCGGGAACAACCATGAAAGGAGGCGGCGGTCCAGATTTGGGGGGCTCCCAGCAGAAGGATGACGTGCACTCACGGCTTACACGTCCTTGTACACTCAGGGCAGAGCGCCTGTCTCAGTGGGGGCGCGGGGGATGCAGGAGCCCCGGGAGCAAGCATTCATCCTTTGGATGCCCCTCACCCTCCCCAGTTTCTTGCGTCTGCTTCAAGCCACCAGCGAAGGTCACAGTCTCCACCACAACGTTGCACAATTTACTGTGGGCTCATTTCCGCTTTATGAGAAAGCCCCACTCCAGGCTGAGCTAATACTGACCTCGAGAAGACGCCCCTGGTGGCCTCTGGACCTCCCCATCCAGGGCTCTCCGTTCCCTGGGGTGAGAGATGGACAGGCCCCCAGTTCTGGACAGTACTCTGCGTTCCTCCCCTGCCTGCCCATCCAGCCCCCGCCCTCCCAGACACGTCACCCAGATTTTTCTTTTCTTTTTTTTTTGCCCACATGTCCCAAGTAACCAAAAGGAAACTGCCGACTCTAGGAACTAGCTGTGACCTGTGACCCAAAACTGGCATCTGATTAGTCCCGCTCTCCCTGAGTGGACCTCGCCTCGGACCGTGTCTGAGCACTACACTGAGTGTGTGCTGTCGTGTCCGGCTCGTCGCCACCCCATGGCCCGTAGCCCTCCAGGCTCCCCGCTCCGTGGAGTTTTTCTCAGGCAAGAATCCTGGAGTGGGGTGCCATTTCCTTCTCCAGGGAACCTTCCCGACCCAGAGATCGAACCCGGGTCTCCCGCTTGGCAGGCAGATTCTTTACCACTGAGCCACCAGAGCTGCCCTGAAAGGAACCAGGCTCCCTTGGGAAAGTGTCTGATTCCAGGTTTGGGTAGGGCCCATACCCAATGAGTCTGGACCAAACAGAAAGACAAACAAGTCATCCAGAAGGGGCTCACGCAGGCTCTTGCATCTCCAGCATTGGTAGGTAGATTCTTCATCACTGAGGCACCTGGGAAGCCATGTATACTGAAGGACTTAATGTGGGCATTTTGAGAATGACCTTGGTGAAATAAGTCAGAATGTAAACATCAAAAGGGCTTATTTTTTAAGATGATTTTATAAAAACTGGGGGTAAGGGTGGTGACAACCACACACATCTATTTCAGTGAGGGTGATGGAGAGGGTCTCCTGGAACCCCATCCCCAAATTCCTCCCCTTGTCCAAGTCTTCTTCAAGGTGGACACCTGTGGCTCCGGAACGCTGCTGACATTCTGTCCCTTCCCCTCATCTGCCGTTTGTTCCCTGCTCTCGAATGAGCCGCCCTGGCACAAAAGCCTCGTTTTAGTCTTCATGAGCTCACCAGCCCCAGGGGCCGGGTCTCCTTGGGACCAGCCTCCCCACCTTTGCTTTCCGGATGGTGCTGGAGCCCAGCCACCCAGCTGAGCAAGTTCTTCTTAGTACTTTTACACAAGGCCCGTCTACGTATTAGAGGCAATTAAAAGCCCAGAGACTGCTCTCCAGAGACTTCCAAAGGGCGTTAAGGAGACGCACCGGATGTGGGAGGAGCCGGGGCCGCGGGGGTGTGGCTCCTGGGAGAGCCGAGTTCTTGGTTGGATACTCATCCCCAGGTCATCAGCCAGCTCCTTTGGGGAAGCGCATCCGCCTCTCAGAGCTGTTTCCAGGAAACTTTTATAAGGCGAGGAGGCCGGGATACAGAGAGAGCAGGCTGAAACACAATCTTAGAGCTTCATGATCGTGGAGATTCGACTCGGTCCTACCTCGATTTCCTGCCAATGTGCCGAGTAGGGGAGAGAAGGGTAACAAGAAACCTTTGGGTGTGAAATAGGAAACCAGGATTTTGAGGGGCTCCAGGCAGCTGGCCCTGTCTGTTGCAGGAAAGCTTGGAGCGTCTGGAATTCCTGGGCCCGCCTCTTTTCCCCCTGGCCTTGGTTTTCCAATCTGTAGAATGGGATTCCAGTGCTCGATGTTCCCAAGGTTCTTTTTATCTATTTAATTTTTGGCTACACTGGGTCTTCCTTGCTGGGCTTGGACTTTCTCCCGTTGTGAAGAACGGGAGCTGCTGTTCGTTGGAACGCGCCATCGTTAAAGATGCAGGCCTCTTAGGAGCTTTCTTAGGTCCGTGGCTGTGATCCATCATAGCTATGATCCGTGGCATAGATCCGTCAGACCTCACCTGGTCTGACACTGTGTGTGCCTTCTAGAAGCAACGGGAACCAGGGTCCAAATACATGCCTCCCAGGAGGCTGCCAAGAGATGGTTTAGACCTGCTCTGCCCGTGGCGTGGCCACTGGTCACGTGTGGCTGTTGGAACAAAGGCTCTGAGGGACTTCCCTGGCTGTCCAGTGGTTCGGACTCTGCACTTTTGCTGCAGGGGGTGCGGGTTCAATCCCTGGTTGAGGAAGATCCCGCAGGGCCCACAGCCAAAAAAAACAGTAACTGAATGGGTGGGCTGTACACCAGAAACTATCACATTATTATAAATCAGCTATACTCCAATATAAAGTAAAAATTAAATTTAAAAATGAAACAAGATAAGAGCTATACATTATACAACATGAGGAGTATAGCCAATATTTTATAGTAACTATAGATGGAGTATAACCTTTAAAAATTGTGAGTCATTTATTACACACCTGTAACTTACATAACATTGTATAGTAACTACAGTTCTAAAGAGAGAAAGTAAAAGAAAGGAGAAGTTCATTTCCTCGGTTGTATCAGCCACATTTCACGTTCTCAGCCACGCGTAGGCAGCGGCAGGAAGTGGTAAGTGCATAGGTGGTCCGTGTCCGTCGCTGCAGAAAGTTCTAGGAGACAGTGCTGGTTCAGACACTCAGCCAGGGGAGGGAGGGTACTCCTTTGTCCAGGCACAGGCCGGGGTGCAGCCCCCGGAACCCCAAGCGCTGTCCGCCGAGCACACTGGTTCTTGCTCTCCGGGGCAGGGCTGGCCCTGGTCTCGTCAGCTTAGCCGCCGGCTGTGGCAGGTTGTCCCACGAACGGTCCCGCGGGCCCCGGGCGGCAGTTCTTCCCTGACCGCCCCTCCCCCTCCGCCCAGGTGGCTGTCCTACCTCCTCCTCTTCATTCTGGACCTGGTCCTCTGCCTCCTCGCCTGCCTGGGTCTGGCCAAGCGCTCCAGGTGCCTCCTGGCCTCGTGAGTAGCCTGCCTCTGGGTCTGGGGGAAGAGCCGGCCAAGCGTGGGGAGTGACAGTGCCGCCGTCCAGAGGGATGGGGGCCCGGGGGGCCGGGGCACGTGGGCGGCAGGGGCAGCCTGACGCTGCCTCTCTCCCCCTCCTCAGCACCCGGCCCGGGGGGAGGCGGGGGGGGGGGGCCAGCCACCGTCCTGCCTCGGGGACACCAAGCCAGGGGCGGGCTTCCCCCCTCCCCGCCCCTGCCTCCTGGGCCTGACTGTCCAGCGGCTGAGCCGTTAGAGCCGTTCACCTCGCGCCCTTGCTGCTGTCTCGTCCCTCGGGGACCTGTGCCCCGGGCATCGGTCCATATCCCTCTGCCAGCGGTCCAGGGCTCAGGCTGGGGCTGCCCTCGGGGCCACCGAGGGAGTCTGGAGGACCAGGGGGGATAAGGTTGTAGCCGAGAGGAAGGCCCCGAAGGCTGGGGGCAGGCAGCCACCATGGGGCCCCCGCCTGCCGGGACCCCACTGGCGGCTGCTTCTCCTCTAGGATGCTCGGCTGCGGGGTGCTGGCCCTGCTCCTCAGCTGGACCTCCCTGGCTGCTGACGCTGCCGTGGCCATGGTGAGTTGGGGGCCGTGGGGGTGCCAGGTGGTCCGCTCAGGTGGCCTTCGGTCTGGTGGTGCGTTAATGTGTGCCGCCCAGAGTCCCCAGGGCAGGGCCAGCTTCTGGTCTCAGTCCCCAACCAAGAATCCGAGAGTCTTGGAACTAAAGGGGCTTGGCTCATCCCTTTTGATGGGGACACAGGCCCCAGGAAAGGAAGAAGCTTGCCCCGGGGTCACGAGGCATTTGGGGGCAGAGCCAAGATAAGAGGCCTGAAGCCTGATCCTTTTCCCACCTGCCATGGCCTGTGCGGCCAGGCGCTGGGGACCAGAGGCCTTCTCTGGTGTGAAGAGCTGAGCCCAGGTGGTGGGGTTGGGCAGGGCTGGAAGCACCCTCGGGCTTCAGCACGCACTCCCGGGACTTCCTCCCCAGCATCAGGAAAGTGGAAGGTGGCCTTTCGATTGCCTCCTGCCCATTGCCCTTGGACTCTCACACACACACACACACTGTCAGAATCACAGTGGTGTGTGCTTCCAGTTGTGGTACCTGGAAATATTAAAACAACAACAACAACAGACACACACACACAAGGTGTCAGGAGTGTGGGGGGACGCTCCCTGGGCAGGTAACGCTTGGTCTTTAGACCAGATGCTCCAGGGGAGCTGTGTGCGTGGCGTTCACTCATTCATTCACTCATTCCACGTTAGGCTGCATGGCTCTCGGGGGTGTGGGTGCCTGGAGCTGCAGGAACCCAAAGAGAGGGACGTTTGCTCTTACGTTTCAGCTCCCAAATCATCACAGCCCCAAGTGAATAAACACAGTGGTGGTACAGGCTGCGTGTCTGTGTGTGTGAGTGTTTGTGACAGAGGGGCAGATTTACGGGGATTTCAGAGAACCCCTTAGCTGACTTAAGGGCCACAGAGCAAACCTGTGACCTGCATCCATTCTGCCCTTTTCCGGAAGAAAAAAAAGGCGGGGTCTCACACAGGAACCCCCTACCCAAACACATGCCTGGCCCAGTGACAGGGGCCACCTGGTGACCCTGCCTTGGCCGGTGGGCCTCCATGACGCCCCCAGAATGCCTGGACCCTGGTGCTTATCTGAGTAGCTCTGGGCAGAGCTTGTCCGGATGGGAGGAGGTGGGCCTCTCCTGCTTTGTCCCACCTCCCCACATCACACAGTGTCCGGTTTGGACCGCGGAGGGAGCCCCGGGCAGGCAGGAGCCCACGTCCCCAGGGCTGGGCCCCCCCAGATACAGGGAAGAGCAGAGTAGGAGGGCCCGGGTGAAAGTGTCTCAGTTGTGTCAACTTTCTGCAGCCCCGTGGACTGTAGCCCGCCAGGCTCCTCTGTCCATGGGATTCTCCAGGCCAGAATCCTGGAGTGGGTTGCCATTCCCTTCTCCAGGGGCTCTTCCCAGCCCAGGGGTCGAACCCAGGTCTCACGCATGGCAGGCGGATTCTTTACCATCTGAGCCACCAGGAGAGCCCAGGTCACCGTCAAACGCATCCTGACGTCATCTGGAGAGGCGGGCTGAACAGCGTCCAGGGAGGGTGGCTGCTGGCCGAGGCCACACGCACAGCCGCCTGGCAGAGAGCCGCTTCTCTGGGGACAGGAGTGGGCACAGGGAAGCTTGCGCACGGCGGGCCCTCCCCCGGGCGCCTCCAGCTGGCCGCCGCGGGCGCCCCTTCGGGAGACGGCTCCTTCCCAGCAGGGCCTCCTCCCTCTCACCAGGCTTCTGTATTCACGGCGACCAGAGGCAACTCCAGCTCCCAGCCGAGGGCCCCCCGGGCGGCCAGGGAGCTGCAGAGAAAGGCCATCTCCCTAATTCGATTAATCAGGCCCTTGTGTGAGAGAGGGCGAGGGTGAGGCAGTGAATGGGCCTTTGATGGGGCTGCGGCTCCTGCTGCATTTTAATAGGAAGTGGGGCAGAAGGAGCCAGGCCCTCCAAGGCTGTTGTGGGGAGCTTTTGTGCGGCCACTGCCCCTGCCCGCCCAGCCTGTTTTTCTGGGGCTGCTCTTGTTTTTGTGTTTGAGAGCTGTGGGGCAGAGCACCAACGCTGTGGCCTCGCCCCCTCCCTCCCCTGTCCGCCCAGAAAGGGTCTCCAGGAAGGAGCACTGCCCCCCAAGAACGTGCTGGAGGACTTCCCTGGCGTTCCAGTGGCTGAGACTCCGAGCTCCCAGTGCAGGGGACCTGGGTTCAATCCCTGGTCAGGGAACTAGAACCCACACACCGCAACTTAGAGTTCCGGAGCCCCAACTAAAGATGCCGTGAGCCGCACCTAAGACCCTGCTCAATCAAATGAATACTTTTTAAAAAGAACATGATGAGAAGGCAGATGGGAGCCGGGGAACTGAGCCCTGCCTGCTCGACCACCCTGCTGCACAGTCCGGAGTGTGAGGCAGGGGTGAGGGGCAGAGAGGAGAGACAGCGCCCAAGGAGAAGGAGTGGGGAGAAGTGGCCTCTGGGAGAGGATGGAGGAGAGGGTCACACAGGTGCTCTGGCCAGTGAGCATTCCCGCTCCCCAGCAGGGGACCCCAGGAACGTTCCTGAAGTTCCCCAGGCCTCATTTCCTCCTGTGTAGGATGGGCAGAAGAGCGGCACTTCCCTCGAAGGCTTGTTGATGGGGGCGAGATGGGTGGGTGGACCCCGGGAGGCGTGTGGTCAGTGTCCATCGGTTTGTTGTTCAGTCGCTCAGTTGTGTCTGACTCTGCGGCCCCATGGACTGCCTGCAGCACGCCAGGCCTCCCTGTCCCTCACCATCTCCCAGAGTTTGCCCAAGTTCACGTCCATTGAGTCGGTGATGCCAGCCAACCGTCCCCCCTCTGCTGCCCTCTTCTCCTTTTGCCTTCAACCTTTCCCACTGGCCCGTTGGTCTCCTGCACGTTTATTCCCTTTCTAGGAGGGTCACTGGGGCAGGCTTCATAGATGGACACCCCTCCCCCAGAGTGGGGGCAGACTTGGTAATAGCAAGACAAAGAATAAAATAGAGACAGGTGAACAAGGCCGTGGTGCAGATAACTCTCCGAAATGCATCCCATAGCATCCCCTTGTCCCTCCCAGGAGAGGCATTCAGAAATCAAAGGGAGCAGCGCAGAGTGCCTGCTGTCTGTCTGCCCATCACTCTTCTGAGTCCGCTGCGTGGACTGATTGATTAGGAGAAGAGCATATCTCTCCTGTGTGATTGATGAAGACGCTGAGACGCAGGCTAAGCCCTTGTCTCTAAAGTTAAGAGAGTCAGGCAGGGGCAAAGCCAGGACCCAGCCCAGGGAAGCTGGCCGCTGACGGTTCCTGCCCAGCCAGGTCTGAGCCGCGGGGTCCCCGTGCCTGAGCTCCTGGGAGTGTGTGACTCTCCTCCACCCCTCCCACTTCTCTCCGGCTCAGGGCACCAGTGACTTCTGCGCGGCTCCAGACACCTTCATCCTGAACGTCACAGAGGGCCAGGTCCGCCCCGGTAAGATCTCGGCTGCTGTTGTCAGGCCATCTGGGATGCTGGGTCCAGGCCCGCGGTCAGCCAGACTGCGCCCCCGAGGAAAACCGAAAGCGTCCGTCTCTCAGTCGTGTCCGACTCTTTGGGACCCCGTGGCCTGTAGCCCTCCAGACTCCTCTGTCGGTGGGATTCTCCAGGCAGGAATACTGGAGTGGGTAGCCATTCCCTTCCCCGGGGCATCTTCCCGACCGAGGGGTCTCCCACTTTGCAGGCAGATCCCCTGCCGTCTGAGCCACCAGGGAGAACCCAGACTGTGCCCTGCTTACCTTTCAGCCCCGCAACCACCCAGAGCCGCCCCATCACCCAGCGTCCTTCAGGTCCAGCCGAGCCCACGGGCCGGGTCTTAGAAGCTGCCTCCTTCGGGAGCTCGGGGGCGGGCCTGGCCACAGAGCATGGATGAGCGCCGGGTCGCGTGTGCTGTGAGCGCCGTGAGATGAGCGCCGGGTCGCGTGTGCTGTGAGCGCCGGGTCGCGTGTGCTGTGAGCGCCGTGTGCTGAGCTCCGTGTGATGAGCACCGTGTGACGAGCGCCGTGTGCTGTGAGCGCCGTGTGATGAGCGCCGGGTCGCGTGTGCTGTGAGCGCCGTGTGCTGAGCGCCGTGTGATGAGCACCGTGTGACGAGCGCCGTGTGCTGTGAGCGCCGTGTGATGAGCGCCGGGTCGCGTGTGCTGTGAGCGCCGTGTGCTGAGCGCCGTGTGATGAGCACCGTGTGACGAGCGCCGTGTGCTGTGAGCGCCGTGTGATGAGCGCCGGGTCGCGTGTGCTGTGAGCGCCGTGTGCTGAGCACCGTGTGATGAGCACCGTATGACGAGCGCCGTGTGCTGAGCTCCGTGTGATGAGCGCCGTGTGCTGAGCGCCGTGTGCTGAGCTCCGTGTGATGAGCGCCGTGTGCTGTGAGCGCCGTGTGATGAGCGCCGTGTGATGAGCACCGTGTGACGAGCGCCGTGTGCTGTGAGCACCGGCTCACCCCTGCCTGACTCCAGTGTCTTTGCCTTTCTGCAGAGGTGACCCGGTACTACCTGTTCTGCAGTCAGAGCGCAAGCAGCCCCTTCCAGCAGGTACGTCCTGCCCAGTCCAGCCCCCACCCTGCCCCCAGCGCCCCCCAGTGGTCAGCCGCAGCACTGACCAGTAAGGTGGAGGTGCCTGGCTGTTCCTTGCTTCTTTGGGGTCCTCTGCAGGGGGCTCTTGGTCAGCTTGCATGGCCATCCATCACCCTGGATGCTGGTGTCCATGCAGAGGTTGTGCTTAAGTCTGGGGCGGGCCCCAGACTCTACATTTCTCACAAGCTCCCGGACAAGGCTGTCCCAGCAGGACACTTGGAGTAGCCGGAAGCAGGTGGACGGCGCGGCCCTCGGGAATGCTGAGGGCTGAGGGGAAGACCTCCTGCCGGCAGGAAGGGCCGTCCCCGATCAGGGATGTAACTGCAGCTGCAGATGATCAGGGGGCCCCGAAGCGGAAGCAGGCAGGTGGGGGCTCCTGGGAGTACCTCACGCGGGGCTGCGGTCTCTCCCGGCACAGGCCCTGACCGTCTTCCAGCGCTCACTGACCGCCATGCAGATCCAGGTAGCGGGACTCCTGCAGTTTGCCGCGCCCCGCTTCCCCACCGCAGAGGTGAGGCGGCCAGCCCTTCCCTCGGGGCCCCGGCTGGGGAAAGAAAGCATGTCCCCTCCCTGTGAAGCCTAGCAGCTTCCTGTGGCTTTAAAGGCCTCTCTGCCGAAGCTGCCGTCCGCGGTTTTATCCACAAGCCCTCCCCGCCTTGCTCACTCTGCCTCTCGGTCTGTCCGCATGTCCGCCTCTTCCTGCTTCAGAAAGATCTGCTTGGAATCCAGCTCCTGCTGAATTCATCCGAGTCCAGCCTCCACCAGCTGACCGCCTTGTTGGACTGCCGGGGGCTGCACAAGGTGCGGGGTGGCCCTGGGGGGCAGGCAGAGGGCAGGGAGGGGGCACCCCAGCAGGGAGAAGCCAGCAGGGGCTGGGAGAGCGATTGCCTGACTCGGGGAACGGGGTGGAAGAGTGCCTGGCTTCTAGATTCTCTCGAGTAGCTGAGACGGGGAGATGCAGAGAAAGGTGCCAGGGGGGTGGGGTACGGAGAGCCGGATGTGTTTCGGGGCACCCTGAGCTACATGAGGAAGGCTGTTCCCTAGGGCCCAGACCCCCACAGCCATCTGGCCAACCCATCCAGTTCCTGAGGTGCAAGTGGACACCCGGCTCTCATCGCCAGGGTCCTCTCTAGGCATCTGCAATGCTAGACATCCATGCAGGGAACATGCTGGGTGCATGTGAGCCCCTCCTCTCCTCCAAAGCAGGAAGCCCTCGTATGTTGACAAGCTCTCACATCCCACGTGGATTTCGAGCGAATAGTCATGATAGTGATGACGGCTGCAAGTTACTGAGTCCCTGCGTTCCACCTTGTTCTGTGCGCTGTGTATCCCATATACCGTTCAGTCCTCACTGTTAAACTGTGAAATACATATTTCATGAAAAATGTTATAGATAGCAATCTGTCTGTGAATATAGATGGATGGATGGATAGATAGATGTATATATCTTTTCATCTATAAAGCAGCTTAACGAAGATTCCAGAGCTATCGAGTCAAGGACTTGGGTTTCCAATCCCGGCAACCTGACTTGAGAGCTGAGAACGGGGTGGCCCTGGTACCCTTCCTTCCTCCCCAGCCTCCACACGCCATCCCTCAGCGAGTGCTCGCAGCTGTACCCTCGGATCTACCCTGCCCCATCCTCTTCTGTCCCCCCCACAGCCCCCACTTTGGTCCAAGCACCACCCTGCTCCCCTGGGTGACAGCTGTGGCCCCCTAACTAGTCCCCACTTTCTCCCACCCGCTTACCTTTCATGTACGGCAGCCAGAGCAGCCTTCTAAAAACCAAATTGGATCACAGCCTTCCGTCCCCAAACCCGCCAGTGTCTTCCCATCACCTTGTGTTACATTCAGGCTCCTCCTTGCCTGCCCCACGAGGTCCAGCATGAACTGGCGCCGCCGTCTCGCGTGTCCTCAGCTGACCTCTCCCTCCCTCCTGAACACGCCAAGCCTGGCCCCTTTGCCTCAGAGGCTGCAGGCTCGCTTCGCTTCCCTGCTCTCCTGGCCTCAGATTAGATGCCCTCTGCCCTCTGGCTCCCCCACCCGCAAGCTCGGCATCTGTCCTGTTCCGAGTGCAGCACACACACAGTCGGTATTTTCAGTAAATGCGTGGAGAGAATCCAAGAAGCGCCCCGCCGTGTCAGGGTCGCAAACGTGGGCCCTTCGTGAATGAACACTGTGCCTGGGATGGGGGAGGGGAGGCGATCCCGGGCCCGGGCTGGGAGAGAGGGGCTTCCAGAGACCAGCTGGGGCCCCAGGCAGTGCCCCACTCCCCCTGCAGCTGTGTGTCCCTCTTCCTCCTCCAGGACTACCTGGACGCCCTCGCCGGCATCTGCTACGACGGCCTCGAGGGCCTGCTGTACCTCGGCCTCTTCTCCCTCCTGGCCGCGCTGGCCTTTTCCGTCATGACCTGCCTGGGGCCGGGGGCGTGGAAGCACTGTGCCAGGAGGTGGGCTTCCTGGGGGAGGAGGCGGGAGGCTCTGCTCTCTGGCGGAGCTGAGAACTGATAACCTGGGGTAGAGAGGGGCAGTCGGGGGCTGGCATTCAGCCCCAACAGGCTGGCTGGATTTCTGCTGCAGCGTCCCTGAAAGTCCAGACAGGACCCCAGAAGGAGGTTGGAGGGTGCCAGAGCAGGGCCAAGGATGATGATGGCATCATGCCACAGCCTGGCCTCCTTAGCTTGTCCCCGCTCCCTCTGCACGACTTTGTGGGGTGATGCTGCTGCCGAGAGGGGTGCCCCCAGAACACCGGAAGGAACAGACTGTAGCACTGTTACCAGGGCACCTGTAGTCTCATGGAGGAGGCAGAGACGAGATAGCATTTCAGTATCTCGAGAGTAATCAGAGAAGGAAGCAGGGTATGGAGGGTCATTGTGCAGGTGGTCAGCAGGGTGGCCTGCCTGGAGGAGGTGGGTGTGCAGTTGGGACCAGAGCAGAGTAATATGTATCAGACGGGGCTGAAGACCACGTTTTCAGAGAACCTCAAGGAGACACCTGCGGCCAGCGGGGGCCGACCTGGGAGGAAAGATTGGAAAGCGGGCCGGGACCCCGCTGCCTGGTGTCACCCCCCTCACCCCTCACGGCCGTATCCTGCGTGTCATCCTAGGGACAGGGACTACGACGACATCGACGACGACGACCCCTTCAACCCCCAGGCCCGGCGCATCGCCGCCCACAACCCGTCTCGGGGGCAGCTTCGCAGCTTCTGTAGCTACAGCAGCGGCCTGGGCAGCCAGGGCAGCCTGCACCCCACCCAGACCATCTCCAACGCCCCCGTCTCGGAGTACATGTACGGCAGGGCTCCCCCCAACACGCCGGGCTGGGGCAGCGTTGCTTTTCCTGGCCTTCAGGGAGCTGGATCTGCGGGCGGGGGCATGCTTGGGTCCAGGGTGCCAGGGCGGGGGAGGAAGGCGTCCGAGGCCAGCGGGGCCCCTGGCTGCAGTCGGGATGCCTGAGTGTGGCCCCCCCACCCAGAGCATCTCCTGCTGGAGGAAGAACCACTGCAGGTGTCAGGTCCTTTTCCTCCAGCCTGCAGGGCAGGTCGAAGGCCCGAGAAGCTGCGTTTCCCCTGGCCCATCACCTGCTCCCTGCTCCTCCCTCCCCTCTGTCTGTGGTCCGCTTCCATGTCCCGTATGCACACCCCCGGGACCCTCCTGCAGAAGTCCAGGCACACACCTGTGTCCCCCGCCCCCCGCGAACGCTCCTCACCCCTCTCGACCCCGCAGGAACCAAGCCGCGCTGTTTGGCGGGAACCCACGCTACGAGAACGTGCCGCTCATCGGAAGAGGGTCCCCGCCACCCACGGTAAGCTGGGCTCCCCAGGCAAATGCACAAACCCTGCTCGGGAGGGGGGTGCAGTTAAAGAGAAAACCTCCTGGGGACCCATTGAATCCCTCCCACAGAAGTAGAAAAGAACAAAACAGTTTTGTTATTGGATAAGCATTAATCCAGATGGCCAGGACGTCCCTGGAGGTCCAGCGGTTAAGACTGAGCTCCCATTGCAGAGGGTGCAAGTTCGATCCCTGGTGGGGGAACTATGATCCTGATGCCGCGTGGTGCAGCCGAAAAAGAAACAGAAAGCAAACAAAACTCAGCCTGGCATTTATAAGAAAGAAGGGGGTCTGAGATGAGGTTGGACGTCTGTATTCTTGAGCCAGGTGTCTGTCGGGGAAGGCGCCGTTGCCTTCACTGGGCTGGGCGAGGCGTTTCACCCGCCCCATCCCAGTAGTTTGGAAGAAGCCATTCAGATGATGAACCCGGAGCCCTGGGGCCCCAAGGACACGAGACCCAGGACATAGACTTGGCTTTGTGAACCAGCTCAGGGCATCCAATGAGTGCTCTTAGTGAAAAGCACAGTGCTAGACCCGGGAAAGAGAGCCGGGAACCCAGCCCGTCTTCAGGAAACGGGGTAATCCACAGGGGGGTGACTCAGAAAGCTGCTGTAATAAGTGCGGTATGGTGCAATGGGCCCTAGAGGGGGGAAGTGTTCTTCGGGGTCTGAGAAGGTGACCTTTCCACCTTACCGTGGAGCACGGGCTCTCCCCCAGGGACACTCGAGTTTGTTACCCCAGAGGATGTCTGGCCACATCTCAAGGCATCTTTGGGCTTCCCCCATGCCTCAGGTGGCAAAGATCCCTCCTGCCAAGGCAGGAGACATCAGAAACCCAGGTTCGATCCCTGGGTGGGGAAGATCCCCTGGAGAAAGAAATGGCAACCCACTCCAGTATTCTTGCCTGGAGAACCCCACGGACAGAGGAGCCTGGTGGGCTACAGTCTATGGGGTCCCAAAGATTCGGACCCGACTGAGCAGCTGACATTTTCACTTTACACTTAAAGGCATCTTTGATCGTCACACCTGGAGGGGGGTGCTGGCTGCTCCCAGCCTCTAGCGGGTGGAGGCCAGGGGCGCTACTGGGCACAGGCCAGCCCCCCGCATGCAGGACAATCGGCCTCAGGTGTCCGCAGCGTCCTGCTCAAGCCGACCCTCCGGCTCTCCATGCCCGGCCCTGCCTTGCTGCTGTTTTGCCCAAACCACCCTCGACCCAGGCCTTGCTCTCGCTCCTGGGGGCCCCAGGCAGGGACAGAGGCCCGTCCAGGCCTACTTCCAGAGTTGGCACCTTTGAAATCCCAAGCTGGCTTCTCTGTAAACCAGAAGAAGCCTCTCAGGTTCCTGCTTCCTCCCGCCAGCTGTTGTGGCCCCAAGAATGCAGGTTGATTTTCATATTAATCTCAGTACAACATAATTAGGAGAAATCTGATGCTGTGACACATGAATTACTCAAGGCCCTGGAATGCCAACAGTAAATGAATTTCCGATTGCCTTCTGTTTTGAAAGATCCACGCCACTCTCCATGCCTTCAGCAGAGATAATCAGAAAACTGACCTTATTTGCAAGGCTCGAGGGCAGAATAAACCTTCCCCCAGGAAAGACTGAAGGCAAAAGAAGAAGAGGCAGAGGATGAGATGGTTAGATAGCATCACCAGCTCAATGGACGTGGATTTGAGCAAAGTCCAGGAGATTGTGAAGTCTAGGGAGCCTGGCGTGCTGCAATCCACAGGGTCAAAACGAGTGGGACACGACTTAACAACTGAAGAACAACTAAAAGTGCCTCTAGGTGTCCCTGGAAGGGCAAAATTGAGCCCCAGTCAATTTTAAGGGGTTAAGGAGTCTCAGACCCCCACCCCTCACCCAGCTGGAAGCCTTTGTCCGGCTCAGGTGTGAGTGGTTCGGACCTGAACCCCTGGGGCCAGAGGACAGTCAGGGTCCTGTGGATCATTGCTCCTGAGTCAGAAGACCAACAGCACCTGGAGCTTGTGGGACATGCAGACTCTCAGGTCGTACATTTGATGGGAGATGCGATAATGTAAGAGGCCATATCCTTAACTTCCGAGCAATAGCTGGCTAACATCTGCTGCAGACACTCACACTTTGTGTTTCTCTGACTTGGCTGCACTGGGAAGAACTTATTATAAAAATATTAGAGGCGGCACTTTGAAACAGCTTATTTATTTATTTATTCACTTATGGCCACGCTGGGTCTGCAGTGCTGCCTGCAGACTCCTCTGGTTGCAGTGGCGGGGCGGGGGCGGGAGGGCTCCTCTTCGTTGCGGTATGTAGGGCTCTCATTGCGGGCGCTTCTCTTACTGTGGAGCACCGTCCCTAGGGCCAGAGGCTTAGTTGCTCTGTGGCATGTGGGATCTTCCCAGACCAGGGATCAAACCCCTGTTCCCTGCATTGGCTGGTGGATTCTTAACCACTGGGCCCCCAGGGAAGTCCCAAGAGGCTTAATTTTATGTGTATTTTATGTCATAAAAAAGTACTGGTGGGTGCGGCCTGGGTATCGGGATGTTTTCAGAACCCTCCCCAGCCCCACCTTGCAGTGTCTCTAATGCACAGCCAGGTTTGAGAAGCCCTGGGTTAGGGACCTTTCTGCTTTATATTAGTCCACCCTTTCAATGTTAGAGCTGAGTCCTCTTAGGTCCATTGTGCAGGTGGCGAGACTGAGGCTGGAGCAATTGGAGAACCTCCTCCAAGGTCATAGGATGAGTAAGGTGCACGGCTGGGATTTGAACCTGGCTCTCAGAGTCAGTGGGCCTGTGCCGTCAGCCTGCTCTCTTGGCAGACTCCTTAGCGCACGGGTGCATTAGGGAGGCTGGTCGGGTGTGCACCTTGAGCTTGGGAAGCAGATGTCCTGATGGCCCCAGGGTTGGAAGCATCAGCAGACACAAAGCCTGCCCAGGCCACCCCCACTGTCCTCCAATAACCCCCACGAGGCCTTGACGTTGAGACTCGGTGCCCAGCTGCCGTGCTGGCGCTTCTGCGAGCACGGTGTCCGGTGTGACGGGCGACGTGTGAGCCTGTCCTGACCGCCCCCTCCCCTCTCTCCCACAGTACTCGCCCAGCATGCGGGCCACCTACATGTCCGTGGCGGACGAACACCTGCGGCACTACGGGAACGAGTTTCCAGCCTAACACACTTTCCGGAGTTCCTGCCTCCTTGCTCCGTTTTGGTTTTTTACTAAGGCAAATGCAAGTGTGTTTCTTTAACAGAAACCAAAGGCATATAGAGACTGCAGGATCAGAAGGCTCCAGCTGGCGCCAGGGAGCGACTGAAGATTCGGGGAGAGTCAGCCTGGGGTTGGCTGACATTCCCGGGCAGACAGAAGCCCCATGAACTGGACCATCCCTCTCCCTCCGCTGACTCCCTCTCCACACCGGAAATGTCCCCAGGTGCTTGGCCGTCCCTAAGCTAGGAGCCTGGTTCAGTTCACCCCTGACTCCCCGCCTCGCCAGGTGGGGAAGGGCAGTGACAAGGGGCTGGGTCAGGCTTGAGGGTCCCCTTGCCAGGACTCTGCCTCCTGCAGGCACAACCGGAAACCCAGGTAACCATTCTCGGGGTCACCTCTCCTCCTGGCTGCTCAGATGGGTACCATTTACCCACAGGTAAAGGCAGATGGGCTGATCAGGAGATGCTTTTTAAGGTGACATCCCTGATGAGACCAGACACTGTCCAACTCAGCCTCCCGGGGCCAGGTAGACTCTTCCTAGGCCACGGAGGGAAGGTCTTGGCAGGTTCTGCCTATGAGGCCAGGAGCTCCAGGGCCTTGCAGCCTGGTGGGGTTCCAGGTGGCCGTGATGGACCTCTCTTCTCTGCAACCTTCGGTCACCTCACCTCCATTCCAGAATCTCCACTGTGAGTTTGCTCATGGCAGTAGGGGCGGTCTCAGGTATTCACAGACACTTTGAAAAAGTGACTCTCTTTCTTGCCAGTGTTCTAAAGATTCTTGATTGTCCAAAGAATTGAAACTCACCCCACAAGCCAGTTTTTACAGCAGATATGGGGCTGATCCTTCCCACCTGATTTGTCAACCAAAACAGAGGTCAGTGAGACACCCTGTCCCCAGATGCTGGTCGGTGGGGATGTGTGTTCATCCCACCTGGACGGACGCATCTTGAGAGAATAAAGTCTCTAGGAGGGAAGTCTGAACGTGAACAGAGTCTGGTCCCGGAGACCAGCTACACAGCCACATAAACTCTCCCTGCTTCTGTCTCCAAGTTGGCCCTAAAGCTTTTAGCAAAATGATGTCCTGATGTACAGACGGGCATCTTCCCTACCTCTCCCTCCGTCCTGTCCCTGCCCCTGACCGGTACCTGCTGGGTGAGGAGGAGCCTGGGGACCAGGAGGAAGTAATGACCCACCACCCTCTCCGCTGAGGAGCCAGCATTAGCGTCTTTGGTGCTTCCAACCTCCTGCCCGGCCAGAGTGCACGGCCCGGGAGGCCTACAGCCTCCCACACCGAAGCAGGGGCGCGGGGTAGTGTGGCTGTGAACCGGAGCACCGCTTCTGGCCAGAACGGAACAGCAGAGTGGTTCTCAGGCTCCAACCAAGCCTCCCCAACCGCAGGACCACCGGGCCGCCGGGACTCTCTCCCCCGTCCCCCTGTACATACGTGTACCATGACCGCACCCTCGTGAGGCTGTGTTGCGTGCAGACAGGACTCTGCTGCGTCGAGGTGGTGCTTCTTAACGTTCCTTGTTGGCCACTAGAGTTGTTTTTAATGCATGTAAACTAAACTAGAATCCCCTGCGTGGTTCCTGGAGGAGCCAGGTGGGCACGCCTCTGCTTAATACAGGTGCGCCCTCACCTGGGGAAAAAATAAACCACTGGTACTAAAATGCACACTGTGTCCAACTTCCTCTGCTTCGGGAATGATGAAGGTAGCTGATGGCACCTACTAGCTGGGTTATACTCAAGGAGGGGTTCAGAGTGGGTTTCAGTGTTGAGGATTTAAAGACAGGGCTGTTGGAAAAAACAGAAAAATCGAGACAGGGCCTCACCTTGCTACTCTTCAAGATCAAAATCAGGCCTCCTTTCTGCCCGAGTCTCCAAAGGTCCCCTTGGAGGTGATTGCTTCTAGGGTTGCTGATCACAAGTGGCATTTATTGACTAACCTCCAAAGTGCCAGGAACTGTCCCAAGTCATTTTGTAAATTAAAAAAGCCAGAGGTGTAGAGAGAGGACTTAGTTGGAGCACATGTCAGAGTCAGGAGTGTAACTCACGGCCCAGGTGGGCACCTCTGGGCAATGATACGGGCCTGGGCCGGGGTCACAGGGCAAGCCACCTCTCCCAGCTTAGCGGCAGGTCCTTGCTGCCTCCTCTTCCGAAACTCTCCACCCCCACGGGTTTCCTGTCTGCGCCCGGGCTCCCGCGACACACGGAGCCCTTCAGTCCTTCCTTGCAGCATCTCGTATGAGCCAGCCTGGGAGGGCTTGGCAGGCTGACGCCTGAGGCTGTCATTCATGCTGATTCTGGAGCAGCTGCCGGAGTGGACCCTAGTGCGCCATTGTGGGAACAAGGGATGGTACAGCTGCTTTGGATAACAGCATGGAGGTTCTTCCAAAAAATTAAAAATTAATAAATTCTATTAAGTAAATAGAATTGCCATATGATCCAGCAATTCCACTTCCCAAAAGAGTTGAAAGAATGGTCTCAATATTTGTACCCCCATGTTTATAGCACCGTTAGTTACAATAGGAAAAAGTGGAAGCAACTGTAGTGTCCATTAATAGATGAATGGGTAAGTAAAATGCGCTTTGTCCCCAGTGGAATATTACACAGTCTTAAAAAGGGAGGAGGGCCTGACACCTGCAACATGAATGAACCTAGAAAACATTCTGCCAAGTGAAGTAAGTCAGTTACAAAAAAAAACACCTGATTCCACTTCTGCTGCTGCTCATCACTTCAGTCTCATCTTTCTCTCTGTGACCTCATGGGCTGCAGCCCGCCAGGCTCCTCTGTCCATGGGATCCTCCAGGCAAGAATACTGGAGTGGGTTACCATGCCCTCCTCCAGAGGGTCTTCCCAACCCAGGGACTGAACCAGGATCTCTTACGTCTCCTGCGTTGGCAGGTGGGTTCTTTACCACTAGCACTCCCTGGGAAGCCCCATGGTTCCACTTCTACAAAGTACTTAAAGTAGTCGGAATCATAGAGACAGAAAGTAGAATTGTGCCTTCTAGGAATTCGGGGAGCGGGGAGTGGGGCCTTACTGTTTAACCGGAATAGAGTTTCAGATTTGCAAAATGAAAAGAGCTCTGGAGATAGATGGTGGTGATGGTTGTGTAACAGTATGAAGGTTCTTAGCACCACTGAACTGAGCGGTTAAAAATGGTTAAGGTAGTAGATTTTATGTGTACTTTATCACGATGACAATGGATAAAGAGGCTGGTGGGACAACATTGCAATAGACTGTTCACTGGCCTTGGGGATGTCCAGGGCTAGGGGCTGCTCTCAGCAGAGAGCTTCGGTTGCGGGGGCTTCACTGGTGGTCCAGTGGTTAAGAGTCCAAGCTCCCAATGCAGGGGGCCCGTGTTTGATCCCAGGTCAGGGAACTAGATCCCACACACTGCAACTGAAGATCCCACCTGCCACAATAAGGACGCAGCACACCCAAATAAATAAGAATCTGGATGGTGATTAGTCACTGGGTCATTTAACAACAAAAATAAAAAGCTGCCAGGTCTGTTGTGATTGAGTGGAGATCTGGAAGACGCTGCAGTTTTTTAAAATTGGACCCTTGTGCTTACTTCTAATTACATGCTCTATTGCTGGCTTCCCAGGGTGACTGAGACGGGCCCGCCCATGGGTGCTGCCTGTTTTTCCAGTGAGTGGAGCTGCCCGCTGGCAGTTGGCAGCAAGCAGGCTTTCTGAGTGAGGGTGGGTGAGAAGCCTGTAATAAGTCATTGCAATGATACAGGAAGGAAGGCTGCAGTTTTCCTCTCGACTTTTCTACTTCTCTCCACCCACTCCCCCTCACCTCCCTGCGTGCAGGGAGCCTCAGCATCCCAGAGCGGGGGGAGCGGTGAGGAGGGCATCTGCGATCGCAGCCCCAGCCAGCCAACGCCCCAGGGTGGAGCCAGTCCACTTCTTCCAGACGCTTTGTGTCTGAGTTGCCCCTGACCAACTGATGGCAGGGGCAGCTGATGGCAATGGTCACTCTGGGCTTGCCATTGGTTGGTGCAGTTGGGCAAAGCGCCATCTCAAGGGGAAATCTGTTGCACAGGCCAGGTAGTGGTGAAACACATTTATGGAGAAGTTGGGGAGCCTGAGGGAGGGATGTTTGCTTTCCCCTGTCCTTTCACAGAATCCCCAGAAGCTGGCCAGGAGCCTACATTGCCTCTCAGATCCCCAGATGACTTCTGTAAACTCCTCTCTCACCGGCCCCCTGCAGGGACCTCCCAAAATGCCTTTCTTCCATGACAACTGCCTCTCCCTGGCTCACATTACTGCCCTCCCCTTCGATCTGGAATCATCTCCCCTCTCCTTCCCCCCCGCAGCTCATAACCATTTGTCAAGGCTCCATCCATTCCAACTCCAAATCCCACTTCTTGGATGACACGGTCCGCCCAGGTCCAGATCTCCAACAGCCATCTCTGAACTCAGGTTAGATCCCTGGCCGTGGGAAGCACAGAGCTGGCCTCCAGTGCAGGTTCTGTGGTCAGCTCCAGCCTGGGCACACCACCACATCAGCTTAGCTGGTCCTCCCAGTTATCCTGAGTACTGCGACTGCCCCCTCCCCTGGCCAATGAGGATTGTTGAGTCTAGTGGCTCAGACAGTAAAGAATCCACCTGCAATGCAGGAGACCCTGGGTCAGGAAGATCCCTGGATCAGGAAGATCCCCTGGAGAAGGGAATGGCTACCCACTCCACTATTGTTGCCTGGAGAATCCCAAGGACAGAGGAGCCTGGCAGGCTAGTGTACATGGGGTCGCAGAGTCAGAGATGACTAAGCAACTAAGTGGGGCTTCTCTGGTGACACCAGTAAAGACTAGGCCTGCAAAGCAGACCACTTGGGTTCCACCCCTGGGTCAGGAAGATCCCCCGGTGCTCCGAGGCATGGCATGTACTTCTAGGCATGGCAACCCACCCCAATATTCTTGCCTGGGGAATTCCACGGGCAGAGGAGACTGGCA